CGTGAGCAGACCCTGGTGTGGCCGTAACATCGTGGTGCTGCGGACACCCCTCGTCACGATTCGGTTTAGAAGCAGACTCCGGGGGTGTCACAGGGATGCAAAGCTGCCGGGAAGGAAAAGACAATAGAGAACGGTCGAAAAAGCAGAAGAGGGCATCAGAAGGACAGAAACACGCAGCAAACCGAACATCAACGGTGCTCATACAGTACTGCTTCGAAGTACATGTATGTGCATGGCCAGAGTGGCCTCGCAAACTAGATGGAATACCGTATAATGTGTTCCATCTGTTTTGTAAGGGCACTCCGCCATTATCTGTTGCAATTTCTTGCAGTCTTTTTCCCCGATCCAAACCTGGCTACTGTGTGGCTAGTACTGGCTACAGCAGTGACCTGTGGAATCGCACCCCCCCCCCCCACCCCACCCCCTGCACAAATACACATATCAATGTTGGTTGCGGTGCAAGCTGTATTGGCAGGTATTCCGGCATGGCACCAGAACGCGAGATGATACCAAACGACAGGGTAAGATGGTCACATCACTGGTTTCGCTGCGGTCATACACATGGCGTTGTCCAAACTTTTAACACTGACTCCGTAAGCATACTGTCCGGCAACAATGCAAAGCCTGGATAGGCGTGCACTGCAATGCACCTTACGGATTTCACAAAATCAGGCTTTTGCTGATCTTACGTCCACCTTCTTTTGCGACTGCTAGCTGGTGGTGTTGCTGTGATTGCTGGTACCGAGACAGGTGTGCATTGCCAGTAGCTTAGCACCCGTCACAGCACAGCACGTGCAGAGCAGAGGAAGAAGCAAGTGGGCTTGTCTGGTTGGGTGGATAATATCCACCAGCTACAATCATGCTCGTCAAGTGCAGGCCAACTGTCTTTCTCCATCCTCAGACTCAACACAGCACCGGTGACTGCCCATACGGCAACCGATGCAAGAGATTTCTCGAGCAAGCTTTCAGCACGCTCCAAAGTGGCACAAGAGCTAATGTAAGGAGATACGCTTAGGCAGGAACTTTTTCACAGAGGCCTTGTTCACAGCGATACTTGCAAATCAAACAGATAATATTATAGAAAAGGTACAGCAAGAGTGGATGTCAGCCAGACCGTTAACGGAATTAAATCCGTGAAAGCACTTTAATCAGTCTCAACTCACCTCCTCGGTGGTGTTCTGATCGCGTTTCTGTGGTGTTGCGGCACTTGCTCCCGCCACTGGTGGTTCCGATGGAGCTGGAAACACACACACACACAGACACAAACACCACAGTACCTTTGTCAAAATGAAGAGGATTTCAATTCACCCAATAGCTGAACGGGTCACCATGGTCACTGCTGTACTTGAAGTGTGATGCACAGTGCAACTTCAGTATGAAGTACTCTGCTACTCTGGATACAACATACTCAGAAGTTTGGGAGGAGTTGATGTACCACACTTTTCTCTTTGCATCGGATATAAGCTCTCAGCCTGAGCTGGTTTTGCTCGCGGCTGCAACGCACGGGGTAGTGAACCCAGGACAGAAGCGGACCAGGCATCATGACTTTGCACATCTATCGTTATGCTGCTTCATTACGCGACCTGTTTTATTATTATTATTATCGGATATAAAGTACTTTCGAAGACACTGCATATCCTTCTCCCCTCATTCGGCATTGGATAAAGAGTACAGGCACTTACTAATACACGCCTTGCAGGTACAGTATTGAAGTTTCACTGTGAGTACGAGTAGTTCAATATGGCTGTAGTCATCTCCTGACATGTTTTAACATGCGTGTCGTGGGAAAACCAACAGGCAAACTAATCCTGGATCCTATCTCTTCAATAATGATGATATACACATAAGGAGACAAAAAGACGCCCATTGATGCTCATACCATATAGGCGCGAAAAGAAGCCCCGGGGCTCTATTTTTCCAGAACATGGGCGTAGGAACCGGTCCGGCAGGCCCGGCGGTCGCCGGACCAATAATTTTGGAATTTTTAATTTTTAATTTTTTTTAATTTTCCATTTCAACCTTGTTGATGGCTTGTCGACTCTTGTACAGGTACAGTCGTCCCTCTCTAATCCGGCCCCTTTTGCAACGGCATTTTCTGCTGGATAAACAAGGGTGCTGGATTATCTAATCCTGCCCTCCAACCCGGCCCACATGTTATCACACATGTTTGTGTCGTACGTCAAAACGTAGGGATTTTCTGTGTCAAACCAAGTACTTCGTGGAATGCATATCTATAACATACACTTGGGAATACGAGTGCATAGGATATTCCCAAGTGTATGTTACATGTGTTGTGTATGTTACAATTCCCCCTGACGGTATGCGATGTACAACTGCTGGATTAGAAAATCGAATTGTGTACAGTTTGAGTGATTTGTTGCAGAAAATCGCTGCTGGAGGCGGAATTCAAGTGCCGGATTAAAGCGTGGAAAATGAACTGAAAAAATCCGTTTTGCCAGAAAGTGTGCTGGTTTGCAAGGGTGCTGGATAAACAAGTGCCGGATTAGAGAGGGACGACTGTACCATGTTTTACATCGACAATGCGGTGTATCATCAGCATGCATATTCTTATTTCTCATATTATTCTGTACAAAATACGGCCTTTTAGGCCCAATTTTCAAAAAAATCCCGACGGAGGACCCCCGGACTCCCCTCTCACAATTTAGCCGCACCAATATTAAACTGCTTCCTACGCCCCTGCAGAAGACACATTGAGGGGGCTATATTTGAGAGAGAGGGCTCTATTCGAGAGGGGGCTTTATTTTATAATAGAAACATCAATTGTTTCACCCCATTCATGCTGATCTGTACATGCAGTGATTGCACTCGATTCATGTACTGTAAGCACCAGTACCTGCAGTTTGTGTGCAATAAGTACACCATATTGCACGTGCATACCGTACAAGGTTCATATACTGCACTGCATTGTATGGAAATTGCGTGCTCGACTATAGCCCCGGGCTTTTATACGAGACAGGACTTTATTATTTCGATTCCCTCGGACAGACGGGCTCTATTTGAGAGGGGGTTCTATTCGAAGGGGGGGGGGGAGGCTTGTATTCGAGCGTGTACGGTAAGTGTTGAAACCGGTGGGGAAGAAGGCAAGCTGCTTACCGTGAGCATCCGCAATGCCATCCTCGTGTATCAGTGAGTCAAGCTCAGCCTCCAGCTCAGACATATCCATACTACCATCGTCAGTGATGAATACTATGTGCATGACAACAGAATCAGGTGACATGTACATACTGTGACACAGGCGTGTATTGCAAGTACATGTACTAGGACTTAGTGTCAACTTTGCTTATAACGACACTCGGCAGGGCATCAGAAAAGTGTCCTTATCCGCGAAGTCTCATTATAATTATGTGTTACAGTTAGATGGGACTTTGCTCTGGGCATGGAAATTCTGATTCGCGAATTGTCGTTATATCCGCAGTCGTTATTAGCGAAGTTGACTGTATATTGATACGTGTAGGCTGTATACGGGGGATAAAATATTCCAAATGACTCAAACTACATTAGAGACAGTAGATCTAGATGCAGTCATGCATGTGTGGTTGCTCACATACAAACACACCACAGATCAAGTCCTGATAATATAACCAGGCCCGGGGACATGTTATCCAATAGTATGTCTTATCCACAGCAAATTGTACAGAATCACATATGGCAATGTCTGGAAACAGTGGAAAGTCGCAATATAATATCTAGTACTATGTAATAAGCGGACTCCGATCATCTGCATTCGACGTGTACGTGCAATTGTGATTTCTTACCACTGAAGCTATCACATAGTTCAGCATTGACTTCATTATGCTTGTCGTGCAACTGCAGCAGAAGAAGCAGTGGAAGAGAGGGAGAGGGAGAGAGAGAGAGAGATATAGGGAACTGGCCTCAGTCACTAGCATATGTATACCCCTTCCATCCACCATACCAGATACTCGCCTCTCAAACCGCTCTAATTTTGCATCATTAGAAAAGAAGAGTTGAAGAAGTCGTAAACTGCGGAGCACAGCCAGTTCATTTTAACCAGAGCACATAATTCCATATCAGGCATGAACCATCAAGAAGGATGACACATACTACACAACACATCCGGAAATGATTTGCTGGTACGTACAAGCAGATTCATGATCCGGAACCTTTAGTTAATGTGACAGCAGTACACGGTCCACAGCAGTTGCTCCACGGGGCATACGACTAACATTTTTAAGTACTGGACTGACAATTGCCCAAAGTACAGTGCACCCCCCCCCCCCCCCCCCCCGAGTTGCACCGAATACTCACATCGCGGAACTCATCCATGGTATCCGCCACTTTATCAATATTGATGTCAGCCATAGCTTCACGGTACGCCTGGACGCCTACCTCCATAGCACCAATGATCTGCAGCAGGAACACATAGAGAAAAGATACGGGGGTTCGGTGGGGCTATATCAACCTGATAAAAGTCCGGATGATTCAAATGTCATAATCTTTGCTGATAATGGTTTTCCGGTCGCCAGTTGTTATCTGAAGATTGGTGAATAACATGAAACTAACTCAGAGTAACAGCTAACGATAGCCTTGTTCCATTGCTGACTCGCGTCATTTGGCTCTGCCCTCGCGGTTTTTGAGCACATTCTGCAAGTAAACAGCAACTACTTACGTACAAGTAGCTTGTGTTTTCGGGTTCCTCTTACAACTTGATGACGAATAGGTGATTGGTTGGTTGGTACTGGTTCCCCTCTATGGATATAGTTCTGGATGGTGCATGCCTTTATATAATAGTCCAGTAGCACTGGTACAATGACATCGCCCTTTCCGTTCTCTCCCAACACCACTGAACATATTCCGTGCTTTCCTTGTGTCAGTGTTTCTTTCGGTAATACACCGCTAACCTGTTACTTGTGTTCTGTGGGTGTGTCACAACGACATAACAATGCTCTGCGCTCACAGAATTTCTCAGCTTGAGCAAGCCGATCACTCTGAGCTGTGCTGAGGAGACCAAGGAAGGTCGAAACAGCTAGCCATCCGAGACCGAGGGTGAACAGCCGGAGCATCTAGAATAAAGCCTGGGACTAAACGAACAACAATGATCAGTCGCTAGACGGGCCACTCGATGGACTTCTGATTACTGTATCACCAGCATAGCCATGACTGGCAAGTTGGGTGCTTTAGAGGGAACTCCAATACTGCACCGTACTGCACCGTACATAAACCGATCCGTATTCAGAAATCAAAGGGATACCAGTGCGATGTCAAACTGCTCTGGCTGATCCAGGTTCAAGGCTAGTTCAGCCGGAGCATGATGTGATTGCACCAGTACGAGAACAGTGCAAATGAAAATGCGGTGTTCCAAGCAACCCTGTTCTTGCATAGTCCAACGCACTTCGGTTCACAAAAAAAGTAGTCATTTTATAGCACAAAGTCTTGCAAGCCTTTTAAAACGTTACAAGGCCTGTGTGTGAATGAATCTTTGAACAACAAATCACGCACACATGCATTGACCTTACTTGTGGTGTCTTTGGCATGACGTGACACCTTCAAAGTGAATACAGTACACACACTATAACGTAGTCATAGGAAGAGACAGTTTTCTCTCACCTTCCGGTCATCATGTACTGCTCTTAGCCCAGTGATCAGCTGCTCGATGTTCTCAGCCGTTCCTTCCTTCTGTGTCAAGGACTTGAGAAGTCGCTTTCGTCGGCGCAGCAAAGACAGTGCCTGAAGAGCACGGCAAGAAAGAGAAGAAATGAAAGGTCTAGCTGATAAAACACGCGATGCCTCAAATTTAAAATCTTCGGGTTGCGCCAGAGAGAAAAAGCATGAAACCTGCCAAGGCCGCACTATAATAAAAGCAACACTAGCTCCAAAGTTGCTGTAGATTACATGATGTACTCGTTATCCTGAGGACAGATATAAGTATATTACTTGGAACTCAAACTTGGGTTTCACCAAGATAATGCTTCATCTACGCAGACATTCTATGCACTTGAACCAGCACCCATGCATACACTGGACACTATACTCGGCGATTACTCACTCCTGACACATTTTAAAAAAAACCTCAAGAATCAAAGTATATGTTCCAGTACCGTATTTTCCGGAGTACAAGCCGCACCCCCACCCCCCCCCCCCCCCCCCTTTGGGTGAATTTTGAGTGTTCAAAGTGTGGCCTACACTCCGGAAAATACGGTACATGTAATGTCATTATCTAATATTCTAAGGTTCCCTTCCTCAAGTTCAGTTCCATTGACAGAGTTGCCATTGCCGGATCAGGGAACACAGACACAGCATTGGCATGTACAGTACAAGTACAGCATATGACTCACTCCGTCTCGCATTCCCAGCATCTGCTTCTGTTTGGCTGCTTCAGTACACCTGGAGATACGAGATGCATGCACACACACACACACACACACCTCAGGCCTCAGACCTCAGACATGCCCATCGCGGAAGCGATGATAGCGAACAGCTATGTTAGACATAGCAACATGTGCTGGGATTACACCATTCAACAGCACACACACACACACACACACACACACACACACACACACACACACACACACGCTCACACACACACACGCACACACGCTCACACACACACACCTTGAACCTTGAACACCCATCCACAATCAGGATGATAGCGGTGTCAGACAGAGCAGAAGCGGGAATGTCTCTTCAAATCTCCAGGGCGGGAGAAGACACAACCGCATATGCAGCACGCACACACACGTGCACGCACGCGCATGCACACGCACACATACACACACACACACAGCCAAGTTGCCAGCAGAGGAGGACAAACACTGTAGTAGCAATACACAGAGATATCCGCATGCTCCAGTCGGTAGCAAGCATCCATACAGCAACACAAGAACAGTGGTCCTACCTTTTGATATCTGACATCACTTCCTCAATTTGCTTGGACAACGCAACGCAGCATAACCGCAACCTGAGACGACAATATTATAGAATGCAAGTGTAGATTAGCCAAAGGATAAACACACATGCATATAGAATGCAATGTGTAGATCAGCCAAAGGATAAACACACGCACGCACGCACGCGCGCGCGCACGCACGCACGCACACACACACACACACACACACATGCTCACAAATGTGAAATGTGCCTGCATGGTCATATACGTGTGAACACACACGCAAAAAAAGAGCATTTTGGCCGGATCCACGCACAGGATACAGCACACCTATGTACACTGACATGTTAGTCTAGCCATGCTAGTCTGCTGTGCTAGGCAACTCACCTGTAAAGAGCAATCTCGGGCTTGGATGGTGGACTGACAGGCCGCTCTCCATTGACTGCGAGTTTTATCATCTGCAACAGTACGAACAGCACACACAGTGCACGAGCACTGACATCAGTACATGCATGTGTACGGGTACTGCTACGCAACGATACTAACACACAGCAGGGTTAATCTTCTGCTCACACAATGCTCAATGCCTAAAGGGGCAGAGTTTCCTTACAAATAAAGCAGAACAAGGCTTTATTGCTGCAACTCCAGTCTCACGCTTGCACGACCATCACGCGAAAATCATTCTCACCTCATTGTCAATTTCATCCAAGTAAATAGACAGTTTGGATGATTTCTCCAACCACCTGCTCAACAGTCCGACATCATCCTTAGAGAGCGGTGGCCGTACGTGTCGACACAGAGACACAAACCCCTCCGGGGAGAAGAGGTCGTTTCTGCCTGAGCTGCTTGCACGGCGGCTATGCTCGCTGATCACGTCACTGCTGAATTGCTGCAGACACATGCACGTCAACGGCATACACGCACACAAACAAGTGTGTACAGCATGTGCGGTGCTTAAGGGATCTGACAGCTTCATTCCACCACCATATTGCCCATAATGTTCCTGTAGAGACAGCCTCCAACCTCAGCTGTGCTGTTCGTGCCCTTATCCGTTTCCATACACAGGTCATGCCTGCTGCAGTTCATCCCCGCTGCAGTGTATGCGCGCTCACAGGCACTATATGCATGTACAAACGCCATCGACACTGTTAGTAGGCATCATCATATTACGGAGCTTTCTTGAACTCTGCAAGTTAGTTTGCAGTTGGGAATAAACTGAAGTGAGATATATCTTACAAATCACCCATCACTTTCCTACTTCCACTACAAGGGAATTTTAAAATTCAATTTTTATAATACTAGTATTTACTGGTACATGTACATGTACTGTCCTATTAGATAAACCTTGTTTTGTTCAAACATGCTGTTGGTTGACAGCATGTAACAAGGTGGAGACCACCGTGTTCGGAAATAGTGATCTTTCTACAACCCCCGTGGTTGGTAGAGCCCGGGTCTTCACGACCATCTGAACCGTATGGGTGTTAGACCCGGTTCTGACCCTCTCTATTTTAGGGGAGTTGTCTTAGTTTTCTTGAACAACTGATACATGTACACGACTGACGGCACAACAAGAAAACTAAGACAACTCCCTAAAATAGAGAGGGTCAGAACCGGGTCTAACACCCATACGGTTCAGATGGTCGTGAAGACCGGGGCTCTACCAACCACGGGGGTTGTAGAAAGATCACTGTTTCCAAACACGGTGTCCTCCGCCTTGTTACATGCTGTCAACCAACAACATGTACTGTCCTATATACAAAATCATGAATGGTTTTATAGATAACTGCTTGTCTAGTATCGTAAAATCCCGCCAGATCAGAGCGTCCCGTCTCTCCCATGCGCCCCTCCCTGACTTCTTGTCAGGGAAATGATAATGACTGCATCATCGTATGAATCTGTGAAGGGTGATGCCGTACTGCACTGCACAAGCGTGCTCGACCCGGTTGGAAATGTACGCAACAGTTCACACCCTCTTGACCAGGGATCGTTTATAACCCTGGGTGTTGACGGGTTTGTACGACTAGCTTCTCTTGACCTTCATGCGGTGTACGAGACGCACGCACAGTTTTCGCAGGGTGAGTACTTGTTCATGTAGTACTGAATGCTGCACGTAGGGCTCGCCCATCCGCCCCTCTCCACCTGTACCTACTGGAAGGGTTGCGGAGGTAGCGGTGCTCTGGCGGGATTTTACGGTAGTCAAGTGACGACAGTCTTTGGCGAATTAGACCAAATCAGAAGTCGTACGCAAACCACTTGGGAGTTGGGTACAACTCCCTGGACCTGATGCATGTACAATGCTACACGTACAGTGAATGTACATGTAGTACCTACTACTAGTATGTAACTCAGCACACACTCGCCCACAGTATTGATTTACCTCCACAAGCTTAGGAATAACGTAGGTCACTTCAAGCCATGATTCAGGGCGTTCAGGAGATCCTGTGAGCCACGACGATGCCAGGTTCACGCCCCATTCAAGCCAGCTTTCGCTACAGTCGTTCTTCTCCCATGATTTCGCACTGCGAAGCACGCCTTGCTTGCACGCATCTTCCACCACACCAGCTAAACACGCTGGCGTTCTGCCAGAGCGAGTGAAGCGTTCCTCGACGTGCCTGCCAAGAATAGATACCTGACAACAATCTGAGCAGGAGGATACGATCAAGTCGCTCCAGAATTTAGTCTGAGTGTCCCATTGAGATGGTTTGTCGGTACGTTGACTGGGCAGAGGAGCGGACAGGAAGTTCATGCGCTCCTCGTCGAGCCAGTCAGGAGGCTTTTGCCACTCCGCCGCCATGCCATTGCCCGTACCCCGTCAGCTCCGCTTCATCAGAAGTCGAGCGATCACACTCGTCTGTTACATCAACTATTCACTGCCGGGGTAAAAGGATTACGCAGTCGTTCCCTGTAGTGTATCATTCTCCTTTCGCCAGGAAGAGGTTTAGGCTTCCTTCATTGACATGATAATAATTATTCTGGGAGTGGGTGGCATGAAGACGACTTTATCGAAATTTTTAAAATTTTGTGACTGGTCAGCGTCGTCATCTTCATCTATGACATCACCACATTCATTCCTTGCAGCTAGCTTGCACTTCAACTGTCTTGTGTCTTGTTGCTGCTTGGCCAAGCAATAGGGCTTGAAAGTGCTACGTCACAGCATAGCAACAATTTCAAAAATTCAAAAACTGGATCCACTTGGATCCAGTTTTTGTATGGATCCAAGCACATTTCAAGCGGTCTTACCCACAGCATGGTGATGTAGCCAGTGAAACTGACTGATTTGGCTACTGGGGGCGGGGTTACAACTGGTGGCGAAATCAAAGTCACACCTGCATGCGACATGAGTGGGTTGCTATGCACCCACATACTTAGGCAATAGCAAAGTCACACCTTAGTGGATCCAAAAATAGAAATCTGATGTCAACTTACTACTCCCTGGCCATTTTGACGTCATCACTTTCAAGCCCTTATGCATCAAGGGTTCATAACCCCTGCAGGCCTGGGGGTTATAAACTCTTGATAGCATGCAGTGATGACTGATGTCAGTGATGAGTCTTTCAACAAGAAAGTCAAGAATACAACTTTACAAGAGTTATCACCAATACAAGGGTTATGAACTCTAGCCAAGGGCAAGACTTCATAACCCTGGGGTTATGAACTCTTGCCAAGAGGCAAGAGTCCTCTATGGACTCTTGTTAAAACTCAGTGTTACCTACCGTATTATCTCTCAATATAAGCACGGTCCTTTATTTTTTCAATGTACCTCCGCCCCGTGCTATTAATGGAGACTGTTCCATTATTATTTCAACTTCATTTCAGAGGCATGTTGCCATGCCAAATTCATGTCAGACACACGCATTTCAGGGTTTTTTTCGCCGGTACAGATACTGAATTTACACAGTGTGCTTTAGAGACTGAGCACTTTATTTTTTGAATGCCGCCCCAAGGTGTTCTATTATTGGAGACGTGCTATTATTGGAGACTGTGCTTATACGGTATATCACCAAGAGTACGCGATAATTATGAATCTATGATTGTACTCTTGTTATCACTAATCAGCCTACGGTTATGGAGGTGCATCGTTATAATACAGTACAATGTACTCAAACACATAACCAGGATACTGTCAAAGCAAGAGTATTTTAATACTAAAATGTGTGACAATTGAAATGTGTTGAGGTTCTCAGACTTCTGTGTAGCTGTGCTGCTGTAGCATCAATAATTGTTTAGATTATACTCTCGGTAACATGCTACAACGTAGATGGTGCTCTCTTCATGCCAACACAGGGACCAGCAGGGAGTACTAAAACGGTATTTTTAGTACTTCAAGTACTCCCTGGTGACCCGTATTCATTGCTACTATTCAACAGTCTCAAAACGCATGATGCCAAGTGCCAAGGTACAATCATACCAGGGCGGGTTATGTATTCTTGTTTGCGCTTACAAACACAAGTTCTTTTCCTGTTTGACCGCGTATATATGGGGTGGTATAGGACAGAGCCGGGATAGGAGTCAGGGAGGACAAACGGCAACCGCACAGCTGCAGACCCATTAGTGAGACAGAGCATAATGATAATGGTGACCAACACGCCAGTACTAAAAACTTATTCAGTAAATGTAGAGTACATGTCCCGGCGCATGTACAGTGTGCTGCCTATCAGAGAGCAAGGCCAACCAAAATAAAATAATTTAATTACACTCATCATCAGTATGGACTAGCTCAAAGTACATGTACTTGCACAACTTCAAGTATGAACAAGATATGAACACACTCGCCTTAGACGAGTATACTGTCTCTCTCTGTCCTGTCTCTGTCTCTCTCTCTCTGTCTCTCTCTGTCTCTCTCTCTATCTCTCTCTCTCTGTCTGTCTGTCTGTCTGTCTGTCTGTCTGTCTGTCTGTCTGTCTGTCTGTCTGTCTGTCTCTCTCTCTCTGTCTCCGTCTCTCCCTGTATCCTGACCAGCAACACTTATTGCGATGAAGTCAATGACCAGTGCCACTGCTACATGTACTCGTGTGCACAATCGTGTGCCAGTCGCCACACATAGCCCACTCGACTTTCTCCCCATCACGGTTGAGATACTCCACTGGCAGCGGACTCAAGCAGTTCTCCCGTGAAGTGTGGCCGAGTTGGCCATGAGCACCTGCCAGAGAACACAGCGACAGAAGCAGCAGCAACATTGCCAGAATAAATTTTTGAACACAATGGCGGCAAATTAGTGATAACCACTTGTTCGCTATTCTGCTGTAAACATTCAGACAGTTTGTGTGACCGCGCTGTTGACACCTGTGGACATGTACATGACTGTGTACAAATGTAGACGGTCTTATCAACATGAACTAGGGGATTTCATGTTCTTTCTAGAGCGAAGAATCAGGCTTGTCGTCACCCTCTGGCAACTTCCATGGACTCTCCATAGCAAAGTCTGCAGCAAGCCTTCTGGCTAGTATCATCAGAATAGGCCCAAGTCAGTGATGTCTTCATGCAACCAACCGTATTGTGGCTTGAAGATCTCATCACCGATTACCAACATCTCCCACAAATAAATCGAAAAGACACAGTCTTCTTTCCCGATCTCTTTCAAGGCACGTGCCAATTTTAATATTCACTGTTGGGTGGAGTGCAAGGGCTAGAATACTGTCACTGATACATGTATATTGTATGTATTCATACAAGATCGTTTGCATTCGGTTTTGTACATCAATATGCTAGTTATAGGTATAGTTGTTTCAGCCCTATGACCAACACACACACACACACACACACACACGCACGCACGCACGCACCCCCCCCCCCCCCCCCACACACACACAAACACACACACACACAAGCAAGCATGCACATACCCGTCCACACAGAGATACGTGTCAACGACTTACCCCATCCCCAGGTAAAGAGCTGACCAGTTTCTAGGAAGAGAAGATGACACAATCATGAATATCACCAACATCAGTACATTGTACAACTTCACAATTACCATAGTTCAAATCATACACACACTTACGACATAAACTACACATTGATAAAGGCAGGAGATGAGAAAGTATGCTAGTTAGTCCACGCGCCGTCTGAATAATCTGCAAAGTTGTTCTTCAAATCCACGGATCGAATGCTGGAAAAAAGATTCACCAGTGTGTCAGAGTACACTCAGTACAGTGACCATCGCTTTAATAGGGGAAGAACATCGCTGGCCAAAAACCAAGGGTCCCTGGTTTGAGTCCTGGCGGCGGCAGCAAATGTGTTCTCCTTCAGACTTCTCCGGTTTCAACTCCGGGAAACGTGCGACTACCCGTGTACCGTGTAGCTTGTTTCATGATGTCTCTGAGACCTGTATGTACTCAAGTACATGAATAAACAAGTGGAGTAGTGCTTCTATGCTCGAAGAGTGCTCCTTGCACTGTATTTAGCACTTGGGATGTATAGAGAAAAATAAAAATAAACTTGACAATACGCCAAAGATGAGAATGGAGTGCAAGAGAAGAATACATGTGCAGCTTACCTGCCACTGCTGCGCTGTGACGTGACCCACACGATATGCTCAAGACAGTTACATCAGGCGGATCATCATTGTCCACCGCTTCTGAAGTTGCTCCACAGGGGAAGACAACCAGCTGTGGATCGGCACTGAACAACTGTGCTGCGCTGTGAGCAGTGCCTCGACTGTGCTGTGTGGCCTCGGCTTGTTCCGGGTCTGTTCTGTCTGCACTTGTGCCAACAACATGCTGTGTTGCTTCGTCAGCAACTTCATTGTCACATGTTGCACTTTCGATGCCGAGCTGACCGCTCTCGTTCCAGCCCCAGCTATAGACATCTCCAGACTCTGTTTAGCCACAGCATAATATCGTAGCATACAAAACAAAACAAAAACAAAAAGCAAGACACCTGGCGTTACATACAGCAAGCAGAGAGACGATAGATAATTCCTCTCTCAATGCTACAATATGGGTAAGCCCTGGCTTAGAGCAAGGAGCACTTTTCGAGAGCAAGGAGCACTTTTCGAGACCTGGAATACTCTGCTTGCTTATTCATGTAGCACCACACACGATCAGGAATGTCCTAAAACCAGCTAAACTGTACACCGGATATACACTGCACCAGTACACATAAATGTACATGAATGTACTTTGAACTTTGAAGTACCAGTACTAGTATATCATCGCAACACTTGGTCTGCTAAGAACCAGTAGCTCAGTTAGTGCGTAGCATGGTCCGGCAATCAACAGTTTCAAAAGCACAAGCGTGCATGCCTCACATCAATGCGTGTCACATGGAAAGGATGGAATCGAATACCACCCGATACCATCACAATGGACAATTCAAATGCCGGCTGCTACCTACAATTGTAGCTACTCTATCAAGGCATAAACACCTGCCTGCTGCTGTTGCTGCTGCTCTGGCTACTAGTTCCAGATTTATGAACTACTAAGTGAGGATAGCAGTTACTCGGACAATTAGAAAGCCGACAAGACAAATACCATCCAAACACAGCGATGAATAATATGCACACTCATATCACAAATATTGCAACCAAAGTCTACATGCCACCATCCAAACATTTCAGCCATTGACCACCGTCATCAGAATCTCATCACGACTGGTACAGAAAAATGTAGTCAACTATCATACGCAGACATAAAGAGGCAGGAGACATTACAAAGTGGACATACCCATAAGGGCTAGGCTGTGCCATCCGCCTGCAGCAATCAACAAGCAACGAACACCGTCCAAGGCTTCCACGAGCCGGGGTCCAGCTGGCGGGTCAATGGATGCCACGTCGCCATGTCCCAGTTGCCCACGACTAAGCAACATCAACCACATGAGTCATGACACCGTTCATTCAACAAAGCTACACAGGAATGTGAAGGACGCGTTTTATACACCAGCGCAATTTTGACACCGGGAAATATGGAAAGTTCCAGTGCTCTCTCAAACGACAATGCGAATATTTTAATCAGTTTCCAATATACCATAAAGTCGCAGATAAAAGCCGGGTTTGCATACAAGCACATCGCGGATAGAAGCCTGACAATCAAACGGGTCAAATGCATATAAGCCTGTCGCGCGTAGAAGCCTGGCTTCTATGCAAGCGCGGATCGGGTAGGTCAAGAGTGCATGCACTATGTACGGTGCATAGTAAAACTGCCGCCATACCAGCAGTCAGTGGTAGATCTACGCGTGTCAACAAGCCTGGCAAAAATATCAGTGGTGCATATAAGCATGGTTTGCATACAAGCCTGGTTTGCATTAAAGGGGAAGTATACCCTAAAATCAAATTTTCACCAGTTGTAGTCTTCGGGGTGCTGAGTCGAATGGTCTTGGTCCGAGGAAGCTGAGACGCTCCCTTCCAACTTGAATCCCAATCGAACTCGCGCACTTCCACCGAAACTGGGTGACTGCGCCCTACTAGATGGGGATTTGTATGCAAAATGTCACTAAAAGCGCCATTTCGTTCTTATAAAAGCATGGATGACCGCGATTGGCCCATATGTTGTAGTATTTTGGACGCTGAGTCGACTGGTTTTGGTCCGAAAAGGCTGCGATGCAGCGTTCCTCCTTTATTCCCAATCGAACATGGTTGAACAAGTGGTCACGTGCTCCTGCGTACACCAGTCAGCTGGTCACCGTGCCTGCAGGGTACAACTTACTAGCCTGTTTGACCTTTTTTGGGTGCAGTCCTGTCACTCGAGTTGAACTCGAGTTGAACCTTGGTGTGAAAGTTGTCGCCTGCTGGCGCGGTGACCAGGTGATTTGGGCACCCAGGAGCACGTGACCGCTTGTTCAACCATGTTCGATTGGGAATAAAGGAGGAACGCTGCATCGCAGCCTTTTCGGACCAAAACCAGTCGACTCAGCGTCCAAAAGACTACAACATATGGGCCAATCGCGGTCATCCGTGCTTTTATAAGAACGAAATGGCGCTTTTAGTGACATTTTGCATACAAATCCCCATCTAGTAGGGCGCAGTCACCCAGTTTCGGTGGAAGTGCGCGAGTTCGATTGGGATTCAAGTAGGAAGGGAGCGTCGCAGCTTCCTCGGACCAAGACCATTCGACTCAGCACCCCAAAGACTACAACTGGTGAAAATTTGATTTTAGGGTATACTTCCCCTTTAAAGCCTGATGCAGAAAGCGGCTTATACCTATAAGCCCGGCTTTTATCCGCGACTTTACGGTAGTACCGGTGAATGCTTACGAAGGTGTGTGGGTGGTGGCATGTAGTCATCATTGAGCAACAAGAAACCTCACCTGCCGATTCCATAGCTGGCAACGCGGCCAAGTCTATCCAACAGCAACACATGGTCCTTGCCACACGACACACATGACAAAGCAACAGGCCATGACAGGCGCTCTAGTGCAAGAAGTGATACGCAGGACGCATCAGCACTTGTTTTGCCACCTGTGAACAAAACAATTAGCAAAGATAAGAATCAGAAGCACAATACAATATAAACTTTACACGGTAGAATAACTAGTTATGCAGCATCGGCAACACCCAACCAGAATGGGCAAAATGGGTTTTAGCCAGAAATGTATTAAAACTCAGATACTGAGAAAATTAAAAAAGAAAGAAAGAAGGGACACATGGATACCAGTATTAAAGTCTGTCTCAGTGTCCTTGTCAGTTTGGTGTCTAGCTGTTGCACTTTCTGCCAGTGGTGGACAGTTGCTCATAACTCGTATCCATGTGTCCCTGAAACACTTTTACAGGAAAACAGGAAAATTCAACTTTGTTACCTACCATGTGCTATACGTATTAAATAAACACCGATGTCGTAGTGTTTATGGGAATATAAACACTGCTATAAACTGAGGCGTAGCCGATCACAGGAATTAGTGGGGGTTAATATGAGCTGGGTATAACGGTATTTATCAAGGCCAGACATACGGCTCAACCTTTGAAAGCAAGAAAATATTTGACAGAATTCGAAGTATTCGAGAACCTTTCTGACTTACTCAAGTAGTAAGTTAGCAATGCGTATTGATATGCAGAGGATTGAATTTGACGGCGAATACACGAGATCTAACTTCCTAAGACGTCATTAAATTTTGATCTTGGATACAGTACAGCTGTAGCTCAGCTAAAAGGTACAGATTGGTGTGGCCCTTGACGGTACAAGTATTACAGTGTGATAACGAAGTTCCACTGTGTTCATGATGACTATGGCATTGTGGCACAACTGGTGGTGGCCTTACCGCCTTCATTCAGAGCATCATCATCGTCAGCAGCAGCACCTGAGCGACTTGAACACCATGCCTGGCCATTGCCTACATCACACCAACACATAACAACAAGAAGGAGTTAGTGCAGAAGAAGTGCAGAAGACAGCCTGAAGGGGTGCACCGTGATGGGCCAGCTACATACAAACTACAGTGTATGTACAGTATAACGCTAGTCCACGTGCACAGCCACTGGACCAATGCTTATTTAGAGGCATATGAAGGGGCACCCGAGGGGAGGTACCGTAGGAGGCCGAGGGTGACACTACCAATAAAGCTCCACACCGATCTGTCCCAGTCGAACAATGGGCACCTGCGGAGTGTTGAGGACTTGCGCCGTCTGGAGCGGATTGCTGTGGACCGTCCAGCATGGAACGCGCTGGTGAAGAGTGTTTGTGCACACCCTCGTCACGAGTAGAAACAGCCATGGCACCCTTATAAACTCATAACAACCATTCTATAATAATATTACTATTTGAATCTTTTAATAATTATCTGGCAACTCAACCTCATACGTATAATTATCTGGCCACCCATTGACCATGATGCTACATGAGGAGACAATAGTGATGACATTTTTCCAATGAGACCAATTTTATGACGCTCCATGTTACTGAAGGACTAACTTCGATCATTGGTTTTGTATAGCCCCATTCTCTAGGAGCTGTCTACATCTGCTTTGTTTCAATGTCCAGCATAAGCGAACGTGTGGATCAAGCATAACTGCTTGGTTGACGCTGCCGCGGGAATGCGTATAATAATAATAATAATAATATGAAGGGGCTGCTTTGGGCATGCAATCTCCCCCCCCCCCCCCCCCCCCACCGTATCAGTCATGGAGCACTCTGTGTGTGTGTTGACACTAGTGCAGGCTGCATGCGCAGTCCTCATCAACTGGACGTTCTGTCTTTCTTCTTTTCTTCATCGTTTTTGTGACAGCTTAGACGAGTTACTTGCGCATGCAAGACGTCAGCAATGCTTGCTCATCCCGGCAAAGTAAACTAAAATATGCCAGGCAAGCAGAGGGTGGGTTAGCTGCATTACTCACCGGCAACAGTAATAATGCTGGCATCACTGCAACTAACAGATGTGCACGAGAACGGCACCGGGCAAGATGTGATGCGCCACTTCAAACGATCCGAGCTATGGACGCCGTCCAGCACAACCAGCTCATGTGTAGGGCCATCTCCGGTTTCAACACTGCGGTCAGTGCTCATGGTGGGAACGGCAGCATCACGTCGCTGGCATGTTGTTGTGGAAAGGCATACACGATCCCAGGCTGCTGCCACCGCAGTGATATCACGGTGTGTGGTAGACTCTTGCAGCTCGCGTAGAGACTGCTCGGCGAAGTCAGGAGAGTAGACCTTGATCTGGTTGTCTGCATACACCCAGTACAAGAAATCATTCGAACTACAGCATGCACACAGTACCTGCGGAGATGTTCTTCGCCTTTGTTGGTCCCATGCCTCATAATAGCAGACTCTGAGGTGAAATGCGAATACAGTCAGACCTCGCTTATCCGCTCCTCTTTTATCCGGATTCCTCGCCATCCGGAAGAAAATCGTTGGTTACCGATTTACAGCATGCCATGCATACATACAGTATGTGAGTTCGATTATCCGGTTCCCTCGCCTATCCGGATATTTTTGTGGAAAACGGATGTGTGCGGTTATGCGAGGTCTGACTGTACTAGTTTGGACTTTGAGGCAAATCCACGGACTCGAAACGGGGCATCTGTGTAAGTGTGTATCCCTGGTGATGGCTTGGGGCATCTCTGTAAGTGTGTATCCCTGGTGATGGTTTGGCCTGGAAATTAACTGATGAGGGGTGAATTTCCCGAGATTTGGTGTGTATTGAGCAGGGAGTGGTGCCTTCTTGCAGGTTTTCCGAGTGGAAGGTGCGATGGGCTCCTGCTCTGGATGGTGATCGTGAGTCAGTCAAGTGGAAAGTCCGGCAGGAAGCGTGTGTTCCAGCAAAGGTGAGTCACTATGACGTGGGACGATTTTCCTGGAGCTGCACACTCTGGTTTATGTACTACTACTAGTACTAGTGCTCTTGACAATAGGAATATGAAAGTATGTTGTACTTAAGTCTTCATTGAGCTCATAATTTTTGGGAACTCCGTTCCCATGGAAATTTGGAAAATGAAAGCTCTCATTTGTACAGGATCTAGGAGTGTCGTACCTTCCACGTAATAAAAACGGTTCCATGATGCAGCACAATCGCCCCGGTTACGGGCAGAAGGTGGATTGATCCTCTGCACAATACTCCTAACTGCTTGCTTGGACTTGTCCACTTGAGAAGAGTTCAAAAGTGGGTCACCAAACCAATATGTACGGTACATTTACACGATGAAACTTCAGGACGGACGGAACTACTGTCGCACTACAATGACAAAAACTTGTTCGTAAGTAAGGCACATGTACTGCATTGGCGGGTGTATCGTCCGACAGAATTGTCAGTCATCCAGGCCAGCACTGGCATGTGGCAGACACAAGCTCGATCAATCAATCGACTTCGATTCTTCTTCGTTTTGAAAATTTCGGTCAGATCATGTTTGTTTTTTTGAAAACACGCTCATTTTTATGATGACGTCACAAACCACATGCTTGTTACGCATTTTCCATTTCTTGCGTTATTTTCTAGCTCATCAAACATTTTAGCATTTTAGTTGAAATTTGGAAGAACGTTTGACCGAGGATCGAGTGACAATAATGGCCTTGATCGGGCAACTGCCCAGCAAGGTTGCCTTGCCTCTCTCTCCCTTTGGAGTGAGGCATGGGTCCATCTTCAGAAAGCGCAGCATCATCAACACGCCGATAAAGAAACATCCAGTAAGTACATATCTTGAGATTATTAGCAAATGTTTGCACTGACATCAGTTTTGGCATGGGTACTTCTCACTTTCTGGATCATTTTTACATGTGCTCATCCAACTGCCATTATGCATTTCCCCATTAATGCATACGGCAAAAATTCCGTGTTCACGCACCTAGCCCTAGTGGAAACTCGAATTGGTGATGGTCCAAAATTGTTACTTTAAAATTAAATTAAAATACAATGTATGTCGGTGATTTTCTTCACGCCCTACATAATGTATACCTTACGGGTCACTTTGATATGACATGATAGGTATACTTGTTGAAGTGAATGCATACTGTACACAATACACCTGTGTAGGATTGAGCACTCAGAAATAATGAAAATAACTACATACTTGAATGTAGCGAAGGGCCGCCGCAATGATCGCGATAATAAATGCAGCAACCAATCGACCAACACAAAACAAGAATAGAGTGGAAGGAGAAACGATCCATTAATTCTAGAAGGAAACAATAATGTTACGCATACTGAGAGAATCACAATGTAGGATTGCCGTGACCCCTGTAAGTTCGTTATCGTGGCTTTGCGAACAACATCATTGACATCTTGACGAGAAAACACGAAACTTAGTTTGTGAAATCTTTGAATCCAAATGCTTGTGGTTTGAGAGCTTGACGTTTTCAGTATTCCTTGCTGTTATAATCTCATAGCTTCGATACTTCGAAGTACGTGGGAGTACAATGTACATACAGTACAGTGGAATGGGGTCTACGAAGTGTGGGAAATGCTCAGTGTAGCCACTGGCGGACATCAGTAATTCTGAGCCAAGCGCTTGGCCTCTGCTCAGTCTACTAAATCCTTGCACCAATTATGCAAAAAGAAAATGTTTCAGATTTGCTGTGATTGTAGGGAGACGACGACACGGGGCCGTAATAGAATCTGAAATGATGTGTGTTCTACCCCGGATCGGGGAAAAGTCCTACGGGATCCGTGATTGGTGCATCATGTGACCGTGCTTGAGGCTGTGGCCTGCTGACCCCAAGCGTGAATGCCCGGACCAGCGATGCCATGCACGAGCGTGCGTTAATCGGCCCTACACCGTGGGTGTCAAGAGCAGACAGCCCAGGAGCGAAACCCAGCACCATTCTCTTTCCATTAGCCTGTGTCCTATCCCTAGATGCTTCGACTCCCTGGATGATTGGGATGCATATTGTATAGCGTACTAGGTGGTCATGTGTAACAGTTACTGCAACTGCACATTCATGTCTGACTCTTGTTGACCTCTCTTGCTGCAGTCGGATTTCTTCGAGGGTATAAGAGCACCAGGCATCAACGATTGCCCCAACAACTGCCTTTGCACGAATCCAGATTCGTATATATCTTGGAAGGTACAGCTATGCTTGTTATGTTTGATATGGCGGCGTGCGAATGTTTTTTCTTCATAAACAACCACTTTTTTGTGGACCTGTGTGCTCCATAGTAGCCCTACAAACTCCCTTATAATTTTTTGGTTGGGTCACCAGCATGATAATTCTGTTTTGGGTGCTTTTAGGGGTCGATGTTTTTATCGATTTCAGGCGGAAATTGCATGTTTTGGGGGTATTTTTCAAAGCTACTACAGTCAACTTCGCTAATAATGACTGCGGATATAAGGCCACACTTTGTTTTTTCTATGTTTCTCGTCATCGCCCGCGTAGGTTTTCAGAAATTTCGGAAGAAAAAAAAGAGTTCATACTACGTACATGTACATGTATGTACGCTGCAGATGCTGCAGCAGCTAGATGCGTCAATCAAAATCGTAAACGTTTGCACCACAGCAAAGGAGCGCTCTCCGTCCGTTCTCTGCGATGAAGGCTGCCATGACGAAGCTTTCAGTTGTTCACTGCCTGATAGCTGTGCCTGGCGGGTCCCAGGAATACCGTAAGTCGGACGAGTTCCGTGGCAACTGGCGTCTGTGGAACGATGACGTGGGCAGAAAATCCAAGCAAAGGACGCATGGCGAGGAAAAGATGAGCAGCGTGGAGACAAGAGTTTGATAACCGCACACAGGAACGTTGAAGTAACAAAACCAAAAATTACGAGTGGGAAAGCGTTTGTTGATGCGATAGCAGATAAATGTATGTTCTCTTCGCCATCTCGTATTCATCAAACTTTATACTCTCATTGTTGCAGTTTGCCTGATATTTGTGGGCTGATGTGATAATGACTATGTTCAGTCACTGAGTCAGTACAGAGACAGTAGTGCAATCATGTATGGGACTACATCATAATTATGTACATGATTGTACAATGTACTACTCTATACATGGTATACCATGGTATACGCAGTGTCTTGTATGAATCACGCAAACGCATATGTAAAATGTATACAGTTTTCAGTAGAAATTGTTCTTGTTTTTTTCCTTGGCTTTTGTTTTTTTTCCGCCCGCCCGCATACCTTTTGTTAAAATTTGCCGACAAGAAACATAGAAAAAACAAAGCGTGGCCTAACGACAATTCGCGAATAACGACATGATTTTCATGCCCCGAGCAAAGTCCCATCCCACTGTGACACATACATGTACATGAGACTTCGGGTATAACGACACTTCGCGAATAAAGACACTTTTCTGATGCCCCGCCGAGTGTCATTATAAGCGAAGTTGACTGTACTCTCTAGTACACCCAACTCGCAACACACGAACAGTCCTTGGCTGCACCACGTACAGTAAATTGTCCAAATTCACCCAGGAGGGCATCATGATATTGTATCCCTGATGATGCCCTCCTGGGTGGAAATTTGGACAAGTTACTGTACGTGTGTAGCGAGTTGGGTGTACTGAAAATACGGCAAGGCTACAATGGAGCTTCAAAGTTTTGAAAAAAATACTACTCTCTAATTGTCTTTTTTCGCTTGGAAGTCATCACAACTTGCTTGTCAGGAAGGCTTTTGGGCAAATAAGCTTGCTTCATCTTTTAATTCATATTTTTAAGAAAAACCCGAAACACTGCGAATACGCCCAACGGCGCATACAATTATTTACAGCGCTGCTTTTTCTTCATGGACATCCTATATTCCAGTTCTGGGAGCCTCATACTTAAAGGAAGCTGGAAACGCACAATTTTAGGGGGGTTACCGTGCATTTTAGACCCCCACAGATAAAACATTTGCTGGAATCTGCTTTTTCACATATACAGTCAACTTCGCTTATAACGATACTCGGCGGAGCATCAGAAAAGTGTCCTTATTCGCGAAGTGTCGTTATACCCGAAGTCCCATTATATGTATTACAGTTGGATGGGACTTTGCTCTGGGCATGGAAATTCCGTCGTTATTCGCGAATTGTCGTTATATCCGCAGTCGTTATTAGCGAAGTTGACTGTATGCACATCATCCACGCATTTCTGATGGTATACATTCTTTTTTATGTAATACTTGTATAATATCATATGATGTACTGTAGCAGTAGCCACTGAGAGTAGCTTCGGCAGAATCTTTATTGCGAACGGGGGAACATTATCAGACACGGAAAAGCACAACTAACTACAAGGACAGCAGAAACGAAGAATGATTCCCATCGGGAATCACTGCGGAGGTGGCACTTGTGTCGGCCTCGACGGCAGCCGGTATACCATTGCGGCTCGCCTCGGGAGTTTCTCCGCCGCTTGTCTCGGTGGCTTCTGGCTGCGGGGCGGTGGGGACTGCTGGTGTCTCCACTTCTTCTAGGTTTGGCGGGAGTGGCCGAGGGCTCCTCACATTGCTACGTTCGGTGGAGGTGGCTGTCTTAATTGTAAGACTGCTCGCTGAGCTGTAGCAGTGAGCTGTTGCAGGGAGCTGTTGCAATGAGCTGTTGCAGGGAGCTGTTGCAGTGAGATGTTGCAGTGAGCCGTTGCAGGGAACCGTTGCAGGGAGCTGTTGCAGAGTTTGCCATGAAGCGATCGCAGATGCGGTCACCGCGAGCGTCCTTGAAGTCGCATTTGTCTGTGATGCGGTGGAGATGACGCAGAAAACTCGTCCACGGTCTCGGATGGTGACTGTGTGGCACGTTCGAACATCATTCGTTCGTGGATGACGTTGGACATGGGCTTGAAACACGCCGAGAGTTTCGTCTCTGCTTCTGGATATTTCTCGCAATCGCCGGCGTTGTCGAACGTCAACTGCTTGAACACAGTGGTTGCCTGAGGACCAATCGTGTACAGGAGAGTTGCGAGATCATATCCCTCGGCCTTCCGCCACTGATGCTTTGCCAATGTGGCCGGAGAACGCTGGCTGGAAGCTGCTGGGGATGGTGCTGCACCGAGCCATGACACCAGCTTCTTGTGAGGTCGACCTTGTGACCCTTGTTTTCCCAGCACAGTCCTTCTCTCCGAATAGATCCTTGACGCTATTCCGCGAATGTGCCAGTCGAATGTCATCCAGAGACGGGCCAGACATTGCAATTTTCTGAACCATGGAATCAGGCGGGGCTGCTTTGGGGACAGGCTACCTGATGTCCATGACTCTGGACGTACTGGCCTTGTCCTCCTGGAGCATGATCTGCGTAGATGCTGTTTTTTCTGCTGTTGCTAACAGCTGGCTCTTAGTAAGCTTGGTCAAAAGCTGAGCCAAAGCCATGACATCGCCTTCCGCATCGTGGGCAGGATAGCTCAGCTGGAGCAAGGAGGATGCAAGTGTCTCCTGTCGGTAGTTAGCTTGACCTAAAACAAAGCAGGCAGAGAGTGTGCAGCAGCAAAAGTCATCAACTTCAAGATCACCAATCAAGCAATACACCTGAAGAGGCAATCACTACGCCCAGGATGTTCAAACATCAAGTAGAAAAGTAAACTGACCTGGATAGGCTGCCCTGAATGCCAGGAGCGAGTCCGCAAACCCAGCAACAGCATCTGCCAGTTGACTGCTCAGCTGGGAGCGCTCAACCTCGTTGAGTAGGATGCGTGAGTCAAATGCACGCATATTGTGCCCATCCAGAATCACAGGGCCAGGTAGGACACTTGGCCAAGTCAGTAGCTCATCAATTGCCTTGCCTCTTGTCACAGCTGCCAATGGTTCACCATTCTGCACAAGGCAGCGTTGGCCATCCTAAAAAATAGGCCAGTCACATCTGCTGCAGATGATGCAATGCTGCAGTTTGGAATAATGTACCTGTTGAACGTCTTCTCATTCCATCTAGCAGCAATCTGCATTATGCAGGAGTCGTGGCTGAGGCCTCCTCGCCAACAGGAAATACCAGTACAGCATCTCAAATATACATCAAGGCTTTGGAACAGCAGGCCGGGGACGATCCCACATGACGCCAGTCTCGTCTGTCCTACACCAAGTCGCACCATTCACCTGTCACGCACCGCAGCGGCGATGTCTCCCTAACGCTTCTTGGGACAATGGCTGGGCCTTGTGTTCGGACCCTCAGCGAACAGGACATGCTTGGGGAGACGGGACCTTCCGTTCGCCAAAGGTGGCCAAGCCAGCGTAGACGGTGACAGCGCACAGCCTCCGCCATTGACGACGGCACACCATAGCGACGGGATAGCGCCTGTACACACGCACACGCACACACACACGCGCGCGCGCGCGCGCAACTCTAGTACATGGTTAGAAGGTGCAGAACATGTAATTGAAGATATCTTTCGCTGCGAACTTTACCAGTTTCTCTGTGTTACTCTGATGAGCCCACAAAGCATGAAACTGTACTGTCCACAGATTGAGTACATTCAGGTAGATTTTCTGTAAATCTTCAGTGTATCATACCTCCAACAGATATCATAATCTGTACTTTAAATTATATGCTAGTAGCCAAGCGGAATGAAAATCAGACTCCTCTCTCGTTAGTACCCTGGTGTCTGGGGTGAGGAAAACCAGTCCAGTTGTATCAAGATTGAAAGCTGTAATTCCTCTCTTTCTGTTTTTAATTGTGCAGAACCCCTCACTCCTATCTCAGTTCACATCCACTGCAAGTGGACTTATTCTGCACAGACGGACAACCGGTTAGTTGCTGCCTCCCTGCTTCAGCTGGTCTTGTTCTGGGTACTTGGGCATGTGACACTGCGGAATCAATGTGGCTGTTTTGCCAGTACTAGCATAGTATCTGTTCTTCTCCGTGTTATGATGTCACTTTTAGCATGTTACTGATTTAGTCCGGTGCTTGTGTTGTTAATCTTGAATAATCAGGTCTCTGTGAGTGGCAACAGCGACGCATTTCCAAACAGATCAAGCGTGCACAGACCTTAGGTGAGTACCCAGTTGAAGTGGTACTGGCTCATTCAAATTACTGTAGTAAATCCTTTACAACGAATACTGTAATTTCACGAATTTTCGATGTACTTTAATTTTCGGTACTTTCAGTGCATTTGTGTCATACCTAAAATTTCAATAACCGAACAAACAAGAACCCCCGTCATCCAACAGGGAACTGCTCAGTCATTTCTTCTCTGTACCTAGAATTTCTGCTCACCTAACCTGGCCTTTTGCTCCCATACCGAAAATTTCTGAAATTCCAGTATGTGTATTATATCTTCCCTGCTTGGCGCTTGATCCCGTCTTTCTGTAGCAAAACTATCTTTGAGGGCAGTTTGTGGCAGTGTACTGCGAGCACATACATCTCAGTGGCTACAGTGGAGCATCTGCGGCTACCACTGTTTACTAGGCACTTGTATTGTGGCAGTGTAGTATGTGCAATCATTGCTCAGGCATTGGAAATGGTATTGTCTGGGATTGATTATAGGTGTTGCTCTATCGGTGCTTCTCTTCTGTTCATGTGATTGGCACTGATTGCGCTTACTATTCAAAGGGAGAATGTCAACAGAGTGACTGTCTTGTTTTTGTCTTGTTTTGTTTCTCTTTGTGCTTGGCAGGCCTTATGCCCTATTTGAACAAAGCTCCGACGTACTTCTGCGACCCCGAGCTCTTCCCGCCCAAGTTAGACGAGATCAGCGAAGAACATAAACCATGAAACTCCACTAGCCCATGACAGCCCCTCTAGATTTAACACTTCAAAGCAAAATTGAAATAAAAAAAAGTCGTAAACCAGTCACCGAGTGAAAAGTGTGTGAACGGTGTAGGTGCTGTGACCCTACCTAACATGTACGTAGACGTGCACATGTGCACGCTCGTGTACTCTGTGCACGGTATTAACTGGGTTGGATTGCTACATTGCAGCAGGCAGTGCCGGAACTGTGCTCTGGTTGTCTGCGTGACCGTTCATCAGGCGTTCAATCTACTTCAACTTTTTCAAGTACATGTACATCATGTTTTCTCCCTTCACTAGGCTTCAGACTTCAGACTTCAGAGCCTGTAGCTCATGCATGTGTGGTGTGCATCATGGATACCGTAAAGTCTTGTATAAAAGCCGCGGCTTCTATGACTTTCTTGGTGAAAATGTTCAGGCTTCTATATGAGACAGGCTTCTATACAAGACAGGTATTTCTATGTATGTCAACACGAAAACCAGACTTACCGTATTATCTCTAATATAAGCACAGTCTCCAATAATAGAACACCTTGGGGCGGCATTCAAAAAAATAAAGTGCTCAGTCTCCATTATAAGCACACTGTGTAAATTCATTATCTGTACCGGCGAAAAAACCCTGAAATGTGTGTGTCTGACATGAATTTGGCATGGCAACATGCCTCTGAAATGAGGTTGAAATAATAATGGAACAGTCTCCAATAAAGGAACGTCTCCATTAATAGCACGGGCCGGAGGTACATTGAAAAAATAAAGGACCGTGCTTATATTAGAGATAATACGGTATGTGTGATTTGATGTGCCCAAAATTGCGGCTTCTATTCGAGGGCGGCTTCTATTCAAGTGCGGCTTTTATACAAGCTAGACTTTACGGTGATGGTATAATCTGCAATGCTAGCTACAGTGAAGACTGGCCCCCACTGGTGCACTTTAATCATCCCGAGTCGAACAGGAAACCCGCAGCCATGCAACCCAGCTTACCTCACACCAGCCAGTTGTAAAAACCTGCGGGCAAGAGTACATGAGAACCACAGAGTCACGGAATACCATTTTTAACCCTTTAGGCCAAGTAAAAAAAAAAGCTAGATGATCGTCCCCGTCCGCCCCAGTTTTTGTCAGCGCCCCAAGAAATATTTTATTTTTTAAATCGTGAGTTTTACTATATGGACCACATACTACTAGTATATCACAACGTCAGTATCGATCTGCTGAAGAAAGAAAAAGAAAAAAAGAAAAAAAAAGAAAAAAAGAGAAAAAAAACCTTGATGTTGTTGTGTACACTGTGTGCATGAGAGGGTAAAAAGTAAAAAAATAAAAATAAAATCCTCCCGCCCTCCCCGATTTTTCCAAAAAAAAGGACGATCATCTAGTAATTTTTTTTACTCGGCCTTATGGGTCTCACATAAGCGTAAGGGCCGGGTTCCACTGCGGCTCCGCTGCCCCGCTGCTCGTCTTTCGCGGCTTGAAACGTCATCATTACCATAGTGACCGCGGCTCGAGCTGGAGCAGCGAGTCCGCGGCTCACCGCGAGCTTTTGCTACGATTCTTGACCAAAAACTGCGAGCCGCGGTCGCGGCTCGACCTGTTTCCCGTATACGCGTACTTTGCATTGTTTTGTACGCCAGAATTTTAAAATTCAAATTTTAATTCGTTGCGCAGGCCAGAACACAAGGATTTGTTTGATTTCGCGCGCGCAGGCAGGTGAAACGTCATCAAAAAGTGTGGACCACGACCGCGGTACCGCGAATGGCGAGTGACAGTGAAACCGCGCTGCTCCGCTGCATGCAGCCAAGTGCCGCGGAGCAGCGGAGCCGCGGAGCCGCAGTGGAACCCGGTCGTATGTGACCCTTACAGTAAAATCCCATTTTCTGTGAGTTTTGTTGCTAGGAAACAACTAAAATGGTGCTCCACTCGTAGCTGAGGTCCCAGGCTTTCCAACGGTGTAAAAAACAACCATACTTACCATACAAATTTTTGCAGTATCGATCGACTGAAGTCTGGGGAAATTGGAAAAGACGACCATCCGCCATGCGCGCATTTCGAGAATGGGAGTGCATCTCTTGAAGCCGTGTCAGGAAAGCTTTCTGAGGACACTGACGGCACCAGTCTAGGCTGGATGTCCCTGGAGGATTTCCAGTGTAATGTCGTGAGAAAGAGAGCTCCGTTGAGTCCTCCTAGCTCAAATAAATCGTCCCCGAATGAAGAAATCAAATTTACCAACCAGCGAGGAAGCACAGCAACAGCAACTCTCACAAGAACTTGTCAGGTGCGATCAGCTGATTCGCCTGGCCGTGAGAATCACGGCACGCGTGACATCGCGCCTGAGTACTCATCTGATCGAGAGTGAATCTGACGCGAGCGGCGCTGAGGTGAACGAACCAAAATTGTGATATTGTGGAACTGTTGCTGCTGGTGCATCGCCGATGGCGAGGTATTGGAGTTCAAGAACGGAATTAGGAGCATATATTCTTCACCAAGACATATCGCTTACCTGATTGTTTATCATAGGACTTCAGCTCCATCACGAACTTGGTATGCACTTCGTGCTGTGATTTTTGTTCTTTTTTGTTCGCAATTGTATTTTCTCTCAACTTGAATGGCTACCACGGGTCATATCCCTGCCTGGACATAGTCATATTTGTGTTTTCTGGACGCGTCCAGGCATACAGATTTTGAAAATATAGTTTACCCATACCTACAACTCACGGAACTTGAGTTATGGCTCGTTGTTTGTACGCGTGTTTGCGTGACCACCCCTCACATACATCGAGTAAGACCCACAAAGGGTTAAATGACTTCCCGATAAGAACACATAGTCGTGTCCTCTAGGCTCTTGCTGTACTGTGGGCATGATGTGACTCATTTGCACGATATACTAGTAATAGCAGCATACTGTAAAGCGATGAATTTTTGCGGCGCGTAAAGTTCGCGTTTTCAAGAATTGTGCTCGTTCACGAGAAACTTTTGCGATTTATCTCTTCAGTCGGATCTTGTACTGTATAGTATACAGTCAATGCACAGGGCCGTGTGCGACGATTTATATTCGCGAATGTGCGATGGCTGCGAAAATAGAGAAAATTAATCTCTAGAGAAATTTTCTCTCTTTACAGTAGTTCTGGAGTGTTGAGGAGACATGTTCAGATTTTGGGACCAAGAATCCATAACCCCTCACTCTTGATATGACAAGCCTTTTGAAGTGTTCTTATTAAGTTTCAGACCTCAGCATGCATTTATTCAAAGTATTAGCAAGAGTGCATACATGGACTCTTAATATTAGGGAGTAGTAGCGGCGAGCACCGAGCGGAAGCACAAAATGGTTGGATAAAGTCATCTTGATGCTAAGCGGAAATATGTACATACCGGTAAGCTACTGATTCACGAGTTGTGTTTATGTAATCATCAGCACCACATACTGTAGCATCCGGGGGCTAGTCTATACATACAGAAAGCACTAAAATGTGCACTACCTAAGCTTGGTTTTGTGAATCATCTTAAAAAAAATAGTGCTTCGAGCTTTCATGAAAACATGGTAAGAGTATAAACAAGAGTACATAACCCCCAAGAATGTGCAACTCCAGCTATGACGGCAGAACTTCACATCACGTGATGAACCCGTACACATTATTTGCACTCTTTGCATGATATATACAGGGTTGTGCACAACCCAGCTTCGGGCTCCACTCTCTTCTGGTCACTTTGCACTGTTTGCCAGCGTAACCTTTTGAACCATGTCACGTGATGTGAAGTTCTGCCGTCGCAGCACAGCATAGTGGTTGTGCAGGCAGTTGCACACTCTTGGGGGTTATGTACTCTTGGTATAAAGCATAAACGGAAACAAAAGGAAGAAAGAGAGAGAGAGAGAGAGATGGGTGAAGAAGTCCCAGCTGGAACAATCTCAAGAAGTTTTTATTGCACAGTGGCGTTCTTCGCAAAGGACACTCGAAGGTATCGCTTCTCCTCAAACTTGTGGTTGTGTAGCATCTAAACACAAACACAAGCACACAAAACGATATAATTAAAATACATAGCATGAAGAGTTGCACGAGATACATATCCTACATATCACGAGAAAACTTTCTTTGAACTTACCCACTAACTTTGCCATGATGCGTGTATAGAATATGTGTGCACAGTTCAGCCTTTATATTGCTAATAAAAATTACATGACTCCAACTCACCACAAGCGCCTGGATGGCAAGCTCTGTACTGGGCAGCTGGACCAAGGCCATTCGTCTGTCTACCCTGTGAAGACAGCAAGCAACAGAGACAGTGATTAGTTAGTATTGACACAAACAGAAGCGAAGTACACATTGGCAACGTTTTTGGGGGCAACTTAAGTGTCAGGAAGTGAAATCCTACCCCAGGAACGGTGTGCACGCAACTACACAGTATGCGATCACACCAGCCCCAAAGCATAGACACAACAGTGCATGCATGTGCATGGCTACAAGTGCTGTACTGTACACACGCAGCTGTATCTTGCAGTAGTGCGACTACTTCAGAAACAATGGGGAGGTTTGCGGTGCAACGATACACATGTATGCACTAGTACGTACAAATCCTGCTGTATTCCTGGGGTCACATTGCAGTTACCTCCACTGTACTTTGGTATGAGATTCCCAGGTAATGACAAAGCAGCAATCCTCCCAATACACTCATGGGCTTCCCAAACACCACCACTACGTACTGTTTTCAACAAAGTCACACAATACACATGGAACCGCTAGACTTACTTTGCAGGCTCTTCTGACCGCTGATTGCTGCAGAGCACAACACAGTCGACAAGGAAATACAGATTTTAAACGCCATACAAATCTTCTTCTACATGCAGCTGTAGAGTGGTGTTGTAGAGACTCCTAGTCTGAAGAAACACTGAGCTGCCAGGGTGAAATGTCTTGTGGGAGATAGATCACAACAGGGCTGCTCAATACAATTCAACCAAGAGAGTTAAGCGGGATTCACAGAAGCTTTTTCGCGATGGGACACGCGATGCGACGCGATCTGCGACGGACGCGTGCGATGCGAACTCGCGAAATACCATTCACAGAAGAAGTCAGTGATGCGACAACATCTTGCTGATTTGGCTACGTCACCATGATATTCGCGCGGTTTGATACAACTTGTACAAATTTATAGGTAACTCTTGAACCTTTGTACAACTTTGCTGTAGAAAAGGTCAAAATCGTACGCCAAATCGCTTGTCGCATCGCATCGCAAAAGTTGAGCCAAGCTCAACTTCTGCGATGGCCCAGTTGCGTGGGGTGCGACAAGGCTGCGATTTGGGGTTTTCCCGGTTTCGCGCCTGTGCATCGCGTGTCGCATCGCAAAAAAGCTTCTGTGAATCCCGCTTTAGTTAGCGTCAGCTGCTGGGCAGTCGCAGTGTGAACACTGGGCCGTGCAGTGGTGCTACAATATTAACCCTTTACCGTTTGTACGTACAAATTTCGACCGCTCGCGGTCGATGACTAGTATGCGCACAGCGCTGGACTGGTTCACCGCAGAGAGCTGGGGTTTTCCCTACTGGTAGCCAAGATGTACGCGCAGAGGGTGCCGACAATTTTTTTGTGTGATGCAATATAAAAAATCGCGAAAATCGCGACTTGAAAAATGCGCTTTGGGAAAAGTGCGTACCCTACGACTTTTGGTATTGCCTGCAGATTATTTCGACTTTTGCTTGAGCTCGCCTCACGACTGTCTGCCCTGCTGTGCAAGCCATGGACGCGGAGCAAGCTCTTTCGCTTCTGGAGACCCTTCCTGATGACTCTGTCGCTGCCTCATCCAGCGAAGATGAGTTTGTGGAGCCAGACAATCCTGTTGAAAATATTTATTCTGACGATGACCGCGACGATGACATGGCGAGTGAAAGCAGCGCCAGTGAGAGTGACATGGATGTCACAGACGACGACAGTGTCGCTGAGATGAGTGCCACGAATGGTGGAAGCGGACGTGGCAGAGAGAGAGGATTCGGCCGTGGAATAGGCCGTCGTCACGGTAGAGGTCGTGGTGCACAGGTACTAGGTACAGCCAGCGGTGCAACCTGCACTAGTCGATATTCGCAATACTTGGGACAATGCTGACACCACTGTGACTGGTAACACTCCTGCATTCCACCCAGAGAACGAACCTGGTATCCACTTACCTGAGGGAGCCACTCCAGTGCAAGGATCTGATTTATTGCATATTGCAACAGTTTGCCCGATCGGCAATAAATTCAAATAATTATTAGTGGTAAATAGTGAAATCTGTGTTCGTTTTCTGGACTTGAAAGTTGTTGCATCGCATTCCTGAGGGTTTTTACTTTCAGAATCACCCCATTTTGTACATGATAAAAGTGAAAAATAAAAAAGTTACGGCATGAACAATGACGGTTGGTTTTTGCTGTACAAATACCTAAAACGGTAAAGGGTTAACGAGACCAGGTTTCACTGAGCAACACTGCAGCTGGCAGCAGAGACTACTAATGATCCTAAAGATCACATGGCTAGTCCGTTGCAGGCGTCTGAAGTAGCGTTCACAGTACGGGCAGATAGAGATACTCAGCTAAGCACTTTCCAAAGAAGTGCACAACAAAAATTTTAGTGGTGTCGACGTGAGACAGTTATCTTCCCAGCATACCAAAGCTCTGCTACTCACGTTATCCACTTGAATGTGACAAGAGAGGGTGAGATCAACAGGAACAGTCTCTCCAGCTCGTCTTGTGTTATGGATGCTCTACAAAGCAAACAAGCACGGAAACAATGATTAAAACAGGAGCCGAGCAGTCTCTTGCCAACACGAGGTGGAAGAAGGCCGAAAAAAAGGGTGCGCTGGTGCGTCCATAAGAGAGAGAGAGGGGCGCGGGAACGGGGTTGAAGACTGCATGGTATTTGGTGTTCCTTGTAAATAGTGGGGAAATACTCACGGGATATTAGACAGATGAAGGGATGGTGATGGCGGGTAGATGTTCTGCAGATTATGTGAACCAGATTGCTGTCAACATAAAGGTACAACAAACAAGCAAAACACCAACATGAGGCAGAGCAAAATGTAGTAAATACAATTTGAGGACAGCAATAAGGGCCAGGATTGGAAAGTTTAAGATCGTAACAAACACCAAGCAAAAATGAAGTGATTATCCGCTCTGACCCCATCCTAAAAGGGCATTGAGTGCATTTCAGCCGTCTCTGTTACCCGTATTCATGGAAATGACAGCCCATTGTTGAAGAATAAGTCATGTATGCTACTAAGCACATCATCTAGATCTCATTATACATGTCGTGATGAACATACCTTGTAGCGATGCAGGGGAGAATCAGTGAAATCCTTTGTGAGTGTTGCATCCTGCAGTGGAAACGGAACGGATATCATTATACTGGTAAGAACAGACAAAGAAGTTAAACTACAATGAAGCTAGGTGAATTCCTAATCACGTATACAATGTATCAAGAGTACATAAACCAGAGTGTGCAACTGTGCATATCAGATCTGAAACAGCGCAGTTCGTGCACTACGTCACCCTGATGAGGTCAGCCAAGCCGCGACGGCGTACAGCTCAAATTTTCATGTTTCATAGCCCGGAAATCAGCCAAGTTTGCTTGATTTTAGACGTCCAGTTTCAGGATTTCGGTGTTTTGTGTAACTGTGTACGCTGCGTACATCCACCGACAAGTAAAGTCACCAGGCTATCCGTATCAAAAAACCGAAATCAGGACAAACTCAGTGACCTGCACCACCGCGACTGGTTACGCAACTTTTCACCGTACCTGTGGCTTACCATGCTGTCAGAAATGACGTACTGCACGAATTACGCTCCCACAGGAACCATCCCGAGTTGCACACTCTGGTTTATGTACTCTTGAATGTATGAATAAGCGCCACTACTTCCAGAAACACAGCAGCCCAGCGAGGTGAACACTGGGTTGTAGCACATACCTGGTCTTCGTTGGGCATGGCGACGCTGTTGTGCTTGGACGTGGTTACATGCATCACCTTAGTTTGGAATGTGACGCGGTGAAGATGGCGTTGGGCTGCACACAGACACACACACACAGACACAACATTAGAGACTACATAGAGTGCACAGATAGAGAGCGTACGTCACTTCGGATTTGTAAATAGATTTTTGTTCCTCTCACTTCAAAGTACAAACAAAAGCTAGAAACTGTTGCTAGAGAACTCCCCATGGCTCAAGCTTTCCAAAAAGCCAAAGATGCCCATTTCAAGTTATCATCAAAATGGGTCGTGGCGTGTTGCTGGGACTGAGAAGTTATCCACTTTGGGGGTTGGAGAAGAGTTAAAATCCAACGCAAGCACACCACCTTCAATTACAGGCAAAACCATGGAAGAAACGGCCTGTAGATGTTGTTAATATCAAGATTCTAAAAGAAAAAAAAGAAAAAAAGAAAAGGAGAGAGAGAGAGAGATCACCAGTGACATGTCAGTAGTTCACAGAGCACATGCTTACCAGTCTGAGACTGCTGACCAGTAGCAAATTGGATCAGAGCGGTGTCTTTCTTGTTGAAGAGGATTTTCACGCGCTGCACATCACCGTACACACCTGAAAAAGAAAGACAGAGCATGCAATTAACATCAACTTGGGCTTTCTACCAAGCCGCCAGAAACCCAAAGGACCAGCCATGCCCCCCCCCCCCCCCCCCTGTGTTTCAGGGAATTGTAGACAGAACCCAAACTTCAATATTTAAGCGAAGGAAACCACACCAATAAAAAACTCAATGCTCTGTTACTGGATACATACCTGCGAGTCCTCATCAGGTTCGGCTGCCAAGTCACAGCAAGAGTCTACAATCCCAAGAGTGCTTAATTCCCTTTACCATCCCTATCCATTGCTGCGACAGCAGAATTTCACATCATCTGACACATTTCAAAAGGCTACGGTGGCAAACAATGCTCATGGTGCAGATAGTGTGTAATGGCCTGTCACGTGACGCAAAGATCTGCTGCCGCAGACTGGAGTTGCACACTCTTGGGGTTGTGTACTCTTGGCCACATGGAGAAGTGCTTTGAAAGGAAGAGAAAGACTAAAGACAGACAGAAAGGCAGAGGCCAGTGAAAAGAAGACATACCGAACAGAATGAAGAGGTCCTGGGGTGATACAGTCTAACACCCAGCAGTTGAGCAAGGAGGAGAAGAGAAAGCCAAGAAGAGAAGAAGCAGAGCAGAGAGAGGAACACACAGATGCGGAGTAGAAGTTAGTAGGAGACAGCATCTAGTGAAGATCAGTGAGAAGAGGAAAGGTTAATGGAGGCAGAGGCCAGAGAGTCAGAAGGGCTTACAGGTTGACAAGCCAAAGCAAGTCACTCCGTCATGATCTTTTAACATAATGATGCACGCATGCACAGAGCAGCAGTCGTAGAGCCCAACAAAGAACACACAAAAGACTGACAGGTGCACAGTTCCTGGCCATCCCCAGTCATATAAAGCATGAAAGCAGAAAAACCCACCGAGGCGAATCTGGCAATGGCCTTTTTAGTACCATGGCCGAAAAAGCAAATGAGTAACTTGTCTGTTGCTCACCTCGTCGTTGAGATTGCTGACAAGCAGGACAGGGCTAGCAGTGGACATGCCACCAAGGCCAGCCATGTTGGCACCAGACATCGCACCCAATGCACCGTTACCAGCCATCAAGTTCTGCAGCGCTGTCATGCCCGCGGGCATGCCTGGCAGGCCAGCAATGCTGGCGGCGGTAGCTGCAGATCCTCCACCCAACAACACAGGGCGTACTGTGGTCACATCTACATGGAAAGCAGGGCACAAATGAAGGGCTGATGAGCTCTCACATGCAGAAATACAGGTGGACTATAAGAAAAAACAAAAGAATGCACTTGCCACGCATCAGAAAAGCATCAACATGATGCTCAGGACCAATGAAAGCAGCATGCAACCCAGTGAGTGACTGTAGTCTAATCAAGCTGCTTACTGTCCGAAACATCAGGCTTGGTATAGTCGCGTTGACGGTCTGTATTACTGTTCACTGTCAGAGTGGCCAGCTTGGACGAGTCGATCCTCATTGTGCAACATCGGTCATAGATATTCTGACCATCCAATGCCTGTCACAGACAAACAGAAAGAAGATCCGAGCAGAGAAACAATGAAAGCTAGTGCAACCAGCAACGCTTCTGCCACAAAGGACTCAGCACCAACGAGTGTCTACATCCAGCCATCAATGACCTGCTCATTATGTGCAACTTGCAGAATGCATGAAAATGCGCATTGAGCAAGGGAACACAGCAAGGAAAAAACCCCAGATTCAACAAATCAAAGGATGGTCACAGGGTTCCAAATGACAGCAAGCATTCAGGTTCAGCTCAACCCTGGCTGAGATACCATAGTGTCTTGTATAGAAGTCTGCCTCATATAAAAGACTGTTGTGAATACAAGCCCAGCCCTGCCATCGGCTTATAGGAACAAGCCAGGCTTTTATAAGTGACATTACGGTATATGGGCGCGTCTTAATAGGGGATTCACACGACGCGCAAACCCACGTGTGTGGTACTTTTTACTCGTGTGACCCTAGCGCGTGCAAAATCTTGATTAACTTGATCGGGGTCCTAGGCCCACGTTCGTGCTTTGCGCGTGTGCGAAAACAGCGAGAGTACTCAAGTTACATGAGTACACAGACGCATGCGAGATTTGCACGGGTCTGTTGTCTGTGTGAATCCGTTGGGCGGCTTGTCCACCTTTATGCCAACGTGTTTTCGTTCATTTTCACGTCGTGTGAATACCCCATAAGAGTTGAGACTAACCAGTTTGGCTGTAGATGCGGAATGAGAATCAGAAAGCTCAACCAATGCCTGGAACTGGCCTGCAGCAGTACGAATCAAAGAGGAGCGTGCACAGGGGAAATAGACAATGTTAGTAGATCACCGAGGCACTGCTAATATACGCCGCTGGGACAGTACCTAATGATAATTATACAGTCAATTGCCAACGGGTAAACCAGCATACTATTACTTATTAGCTCCACAGCATGCATGTACCAAACACGTGGGTGACAGGACACTGGTGGCCCGATACACACAAGAATACACATACTCAATCTGCAGACAGCACTGCTTCGTCCGCCTTTGTACACTCGTCAGTGTAACATTGAGAAACCAGATCTAAGCCCAGGAAAACTATAGCTTTAGGACCCAAGAGGCTGTCAACAAATATCAATATACTTTAGAGATGATACCTGTTTTTTTTATTGGGGAAAAGGTTGAGCACTGATCATATTTCTTGGAATGTGTGTTCATCGTGAGAGGGGGGGGGGGGGGGGGGTGAACAAAAAATACTGTTTTGAGAAACTATATCAGTTCTTGGGATGGCCCTAAGTGGTCTTCACCTGAAATCACAATGACCAGCTCCACAGCACAGGGGCGCACTAATCCAATCTATATGCAATCAATGTAAATTCCTGGTCCTATTGGCATACCGGGAGTGTACTCACCATTCTTCGTGAATGTGATGATGCGCAAAACAGTCCCATACTTGGAGAAAATCTACAACAGGCAGTTCATCAATGGAGAAGAGAAAGAAACATCAGTAGCAGAAATAAGCAAAAACTAAGTACACTCCTGTACACTTATGAGTTGTACGTCAGGATAAAAGAACATTAGGAAAGAGAAAAAAAGGAAGGAGTTCCAAGAGTTTGTGACCACAAGAGATAAAGAGAAGCAAGAGTTACATGACAGAGGCAAAAAGAGATAGACAACACCTTTAACGCACAAACACAAACACATACCGTATGCAGCACATCCAAAGTAACAGGATAGATCATGTTGTCAATGAGGATGTGTAGAACGTTGGGACCATCTGTTCCAGGTGTTGCCTGAGCGGCACCACCCTGTCCAAGAAAAACAACATACAAAACAATTTAAATCACAGCTGCACACACCTGCACAGCACATTGTACAGGAAAACAGAATAACAGGGCAACTGCCACAGCAGACCCAGTGGAGCAAAGGAGACTGCTGAAAAACCTAATGGATGAGATAATGAAGCACAGCCATATACTTCAGCGTACTAGTACATTCTTCTTCTTCTAGAAAAGCACCAACAAAACTATAAGTCCCATCATCTTCACTGCCGTGCTTACCGTGGCGTTGTTACTGGGTGACAGCAGCAACTCTGTGTGGCGCGAATGCTGCAGCTGAACAGTTTGGCCCCTGCGCAAGATGGAAAACAACATGTCGCTGATATAAACACAACGAGACATTTTCTATATACAAAAGTTGCGCGTCTGGAGATGGGCAACCTCTAGACAAAGACGAACTGCATTCTGGGAATTTGGATATAGGCAGTTGAGGATGTGTGCACATTATTCTAGTTTTGAAGAAGCCAAGCCATGCGACGCATGCTCTACATTTTCATGGTGGTATGAAAAAGGCTCTTCAGTGCACCCGCAGAGTGTGTAATGCTATTTGCCTTGTCTAAATCATAGGAATTCATGGAGAAAGTGTGTGTGCGTGCGCGCGCGTGTGTGAGGGAGGGAGAGAGAGAGAGAGAATCTATAGCAGCGAAAACACTTCTTGGCCCAATACAAATCATGTAGTGTCGTGTCTATGTCCACCATAACTCTGCCTAACTCTGGATTTATCACTGCACCACACCACATCAATTTAATCACGTACCTTATCATAGCGGGAGTATAGTTATAATAGTTGCAACAGGTAGCCGCAATAGCTTCATCTTCCAGCTCCATCAGTGCCTGGTTGCGCTGACGAAGTAGCATAATATTAGTAACTCGGCCAAATGGTGCTGCAAGGGCGGCTACCTCGAATTCCGTCGTTGCAGCCGGAAGGCTTCGCACATGCAGTACGCGCGACGGTTGACTGTTGTCGGATAACTTTGTCTTCTTTGCATCTACATGTGCATGTAACCAACAGAAAGAATGCATGGCCATCTGCACTGTACAATATTAGAACTCTGGGAAAGAATTGCAAAAGGAAAGCTGCTAAAATCAATTCAATCTCGGTTTTTTTTAACCATTCATGTTTTCTATTGAGCTATCATGCGTGTACAGTTTTGCCTAGTCAGCTCCTGCAACAAGTTACATAAATTGCACGTTCGGGCCTGATTGGAAATTTTTATTTCCATTGCTATTCAGGTTCGGCCTCATTTCCTCTGTGCTGCGCTGACGAGTCCACAAAGGACGAAACAGTTCTGTCCGCAGATTGAGTAAATTGCAGTGCCAGTAATAACTGACATCCCAGAAGCAGTCAGGTACGGCGCAGTTGCATGTTATCAAGAGTAGATAAACAAGAGTGTGCAACTCCGGATCTCTCCTGCACAATCTGCAGATACCCCGCGCCCACGGCGGAATTTTTTGTTTACGTCACCTTTTTTCAGAGAAACGCGGATTCTGCCGCAGAGCAGTGTGAGAGCACGTGCTGGGCACCGACCTTGTAGTGTAAAGCCCAGCCAAGTGCACGAGGGAAAACTCTCCAAAAGGCTCGCAGCGCGTGCGTCGTCGAAAAGATTACGTCAACAAAAAATTCCGCCGTGGGCCAACCCATCCGCGAGTTGCACACTCTTGTTTATCTACTCTTGATGTTATTATTCTGATGAGATGGCCACGAAAACGTATAAGGAACAAGCTTTTATACATGGAAACAAGTTTTGCTAATGGTGTTTGTACTGAGTGCGCAGCTTACTACCGGTATATTTATTGCGTTAATTACATTTTTTATCTCCACGTATAGCTTTTTAATTATTATTATTATTATTATTTTCACTAGTTTGAGGGTTATTATTATTATTATTATTATACGCTTGTTCGCGTTGATATCACCAAGCAAGCTTGGCTAGTCTTCGTATAAGCCAAATGAACAAAAGAAATGAGGAACGAGCACGAGTATACATTAACACCAACAAATACGCCTAATCTGAGCCTAACATTACGAATAACGAAGCAAACTGAAGGGAAACATACCACTGACTCCCGGTATTTGGTCCTCAGCAAGGCGCTGCAAAATATGGGAACGGAAAATGAAGAGAACATCGATTTAGGAACTAACGACACGAACAGGCAAGACGAAGACCGAGAACGACGTACCTTCAATCCTCCTCCTAAAGCGTCCATGGTGTAAACAAAGTGGCTCCTTTTAATCTCTCTCACAAAGTTCACAAAGAGCAAGATATGAAAAATTGGTAGCTAACTTTTACTTGGACCTTCTTCTCAAAAGCAGGAAAACACCGACAACAACCAGATCAGCTGAAAGCCTGAAACCCTTCGTCGCGTTTTTTGCCGACTTGCATGCTCGTAAACAGCTAGCTGTAGCTAGCGCTATAGCTGACATCGACGCCAAACGCAAGACGCGCTAGGCGCGTGCGCAGCTCGGCGGCGTGCGGTAAATGTGCAACACAAATGCGTCAACTCCCCATGGAAACCACTCACTGCGTGGGCCGCGTCCAGTTGATGTACGGTGCACCGGTGGTTACTTGCAGTAGTTGGATCAGCTGATTTCTTGAATCTTGCTTCTTGGTCGACTCTTTGAAAATTTTACTTGCACTTTGCAGACTGTCAACACCACACTGGATCCTGACACGACAGGACATGACATGACTCGACTGTGCACATGTGATGTACATGTAGTAAAAACGACAGCACATGAAGTAAAAACACTGTTTTGTGCATTGTGAAGAAATCGAGAGCAGTAGAGGTGTAGTGAAGACTGAAGTCCCGAGCAGAAGGCCAGTTTTTCGCAGTGTCAGAGACTGTAGCCTGATATTTTAAAAAAGCCTCGTTGATTCTGCCTTGCACGGCTGTGTGGCGAAAATATCCTTGTTTGCAATTTGCCACGTTGCGAATTAATTATTTGGACTCAGGAATTACTGCTACTTCATTACGAACAATTCGTAGTGCTGGAATAGCATCTGGAGGATAAGATGTTTTCATCAAGGACGGTGAGTATTCTCTCAGCTGGCACTGTACTGCCAAGTCAGCTGTTTGCTGTTACTGGCCATGGACCTGGTTCATTCGATGATGTCAGTGCTGACACATGTGCCCTATGAATAGTTTGTACATTTAATAATATAGCTACAAAGACAACTAATTGCACAGTAAGCATTTCATATATTATATGAAATGCTTACTGTGCAATTAGTTGTGTAGCTATAATATTAAATGTACAAACTATTCATAATAATATTATTATGTCGACATGTATGTGTAAAATGCAAGGCACACAAGGAAGGGAAAGCGAGGATTCGTTCAGAACGGTCTACGTAACAATGGAACGGGGACTACTTGAACTAATCTTATGTGGACAAATAAAAGTGAAAGGTGAAAAAGAGCGAAACAAAAAAAGAGTGATAATACTACATCTATTCAGTGGGGGGCAAGCTCAGCAGGTAAGAACAATGCATATGTGAATCATCAGCATCAGCAAAACAAAGAAAGAACCTGAACAGACGTTTCCATTCCATTGTTACGTAGATTCACTGATGATTGTAACAAGAAAACAGTTCTGAACGAATCCTCGCTTTCCCTTCCTTGTGTGCCTTGCGATAATCGTACATTTTACACATACATGTCAACATATATGAAATGCTTACTGTGCAATTAGTTGTCTTTGTAGCTATATTAAAACTGCTGTCTCCGAAACGCCTGTTCACATTTAATAATACTCATAATATACTCAATCTGCGATATATAATCTGCGAGGAAACGAAACCCGTAATATCGAAATGAAGAATGTAAACGCGCTCATCAGCAGTCGCAAAGCAACAGTCGAGTTATGATTCAAACGTTTTCTTGTGGCAGTCATCAGGAATCAATCACCACAATGGGGTCTAACTAGAACAGAATAATAATAATAATTATTATAATCCAGTAGAAAAACAGTAAGTAACAAATACAAAAAAAAACAAGTCATATTCTTCAACTTTCCACATCGCACAATTGATCTCTTTGCGATCCTGGTGCTGGTCCCAGGTCGAAAACTCAATTGCAAAACAAGTTTCTTTATGGGGCAAAGTGACCAAATTTGTGACGGTTGAGAGTTTGACTTCCATGGCTTGTACAGTAGGTTGTGACATGGCTGCTGTGTTCCTTCTCAGCCTGAAGACTTTGAAGATAAGGAAAGTTGCTTTTTATAACATCTAGTAAACATCGTAGTTATTTCTGCCTTTCAATTAGGGCTGAAACGATCATTCAATAACTCCTAGCGATCAACCAATATCATTAACGATCGATATATTGGTTTTATCGATTCTTGTCGGCCCTATCGAACACCAGTTTATAAAGATATTCTATGATGCCTTTGCTACGCTCAAAATTTGTGGCACCGCACCTGTTGACATCTGTAGATATCTGGCTGGTTTTATCAGCATGAACTACTCAAGTAGAGAGTTTCATGTTGTTTCTAGAGCGAAGAATCTTGTCATCACCCACTAGCAACTGCTCTCTCATCTCTAACTTCTGAAGTTCTCCCAATCTCTTTCAAAGCCACAAATCAATTTTACTGCGCTTGAAAGTACATGATTGCACTCGTATCCACTATCGGATGGAGTGCAAGGGCTAGAATACTGTCACTGATATGCATGCATAAAAATCGTTAGTACTCGTTTTGAAAACTAACGATTATCGATCGCACTCTTAACGATCGATATGCGAGTTATTGGTATAATTGTTTCAGCCCTACTTTCAATACATCATCATTGGACGTGTTCGATTGCACACCCGGGACCCAGATTTCATAATTTTTGAATGAGCAGATTAAGGCCATGTAATAGAAACAAACAACTGGAATTTTCGGAATGGGCGGAATTGGATTTGTGGATTCGGACAAAGAAATCTGTGTAATCAAAGTACGTGGAATGGATGGAATTGTGTGTAATCGAATACGCCCATTGTTTTGCGCGTGCATGTGGGAATATCTTTTGTTTTTGCTGCTTATTGCGACGGGTTTAGGAAGACGAGTTGCTGCTGAGACTCACCGAGCTTGGCTTTGGACCAGAACTCTCCCAACGGGCACTACAAACAGGGTGTGATAATCTCCAGGAGCTTATTGACTGGTACGTTTCCTCAAGTCAACAAAACAATTAAACTTTTGCGTGTGTGTTTGTGTTTTCGTGCATTAACATTTAAAAGCAGGCATGGTTGTGATTTTTTTTACTAAGTACACAACCTACTCGTCAGAAGGGGAGAAGACAACAGAGTATACAATAACAAAACAGCAGGGAGAGTAGGGGCTGCAAAGCAAGCCTGTGCTGGTGAGGCAAGCCCACAACACTGACCCATGGTCTCGGCGTTAACGTGAGCTTGCGCACCTTAGCCTAAAAGAAGGGGGTGATTTACTGCGATAAAGACAAGAGAAGGTGAGGTAGAATGGATGAGGAGAAAGAAAGAGAGAGAGAGAGAGAGAGAGAGAGAGAGAGAGAGAGAGAGAGAGAGAGAGAGAGAGAGAGAGAGAGAGAGAGAGAGAGAGAGAGGGAGGGAGGGAGGGAGGGAGGGAGGGAGAGCGAGAGAGAGAGAGAGAGAGAGAGAGAGAGAGAGAGAGAGAGAGAGAGAGAGAGAGAGAGAGAGAGAGAGTGAGAGAGAGAGAGAGAGAGAGAGTGAAAGAGAGAGAGAGGTGATGAGTTGGGAATGCAATAAATAGGCATAACACTTAGGGCGCGGTCACACATGCACTGGGATTCGCTTCGGCGACGAGGTTCGGCGGCAGCGAGCCTGGTGTCGCTCCAGCGAAACCACGTGTGTATGGTCACACATACAAACAGGGCAAACTCCTACTTTGGCGGAAAATGAGAGTAAAGTGGACTGTGGTGCATACGGTACGGAGAAGAGACTAGGTCAATGACTATCTTGCACGCATTTTTGTTGCATGGACATCATACACATACAAATTTCCCGTAGCAAGTTCATATACAGCAGACCATGGTGTTTTCCGCTGAAGCGAATCCGCAGAAGCGACAGTCTCGCTTCGAAAATTTTGGAGGAAGCGGATTGGAGTTTCCGCTGAAGCGGAAGTTCCGCTTTCCGCCGTTGCCATGCCATTTTTCGCTCCTGCGACCTCGCTTCAGCGTATACGCTACTTTCGAGTGCATGTGTGACCGGGCCCTAACCTACAAATGCAACGGCGCAAACAGAGAGTTTGTTTCATACTCTAGACCAACGCATACGGCCGATTGGTTTGCAGGCCTGCCTGCAAATCGTGAGGTCCCGAGTTCAAGACCCGCGCTGGTAGCAGGAAGCGTGTAAAAAGACGTTTTACGCGTGTTGAACTGCGCCGACACCCACAGTCAACTGGGTACTCACAGCTCGGAGTGAGAATAACAAGGATGCAGTTTACAGGGTTATGGGTCGTTACACGCCCGATTGGTTGAGAGACTAACCTCCTCTCCCCTGACTCACTTGTGAGGTCTGCATTCGCCACTAAGGTTAACAGGCATAGTGTTGGCCTGCGGATGCGAAGGCTAGTTTGTGTGTTTCTGAACATTCAAGCGATGCCGACGCGGATCCCGCGAATATTATTATTATTATTATTATTAGACCGTACCTTGGCTTGGGTGGGAGGGGTGCATCGATGTCAGGGGAATGTGAGATGTTGCAGACGTTCTTTTGCCACTTGGCCCTACACGTTGTCTGTCTGTGCCTACTCATTTTTTTTAAATCTGCAGGTGCTTAAGTCAAGAAAATGCTGGTCAGCAGCTGGAAGAAGAATCGTCCTCGCTTGATGAACACCAGCCGCACGAGCCGCTGCCGCCACCTGCTGATACGTCAACAGCTTCTCCACTTTCGAGGGTATGGAGCAAAAAACGTCCTTCGAAGTATTTGGGTCATTCACTCACAAAGTGGCGAACGGTTGCCTCGGATCGATTCAATTTAATATTAATAATAAATTAAAAAATCTGCAAATACATGTATCGTTAGACTCGGGTGGTGAGCCAAGGATTAATTTATAAGAAGAAAAGAGGACTAAGAACTGTAAATTGCGATTGTAAAGTAACTGGTGGTGTTAGTGGACATTCTAGAGTAGCTTGTAGCTCCTTGGTCCTCTTTTCTTCTTATAAATACATGTATAACGAAGCCTCAGTAAAGCACACCTCCAAGGACTGTAAACATCTGTACTTTATATCCGATGGCAAATGACTGTTATTGCGTAGAGAATCCCATAGTATATTATATCCCTAAGTTTGAAGGACTGAAAAGAGGAAAGTCTAAAGAAAAAATCACTGTTCCGAACCAGGACTCAAACCATAGACCTTCGCTATCTTCCAGCGATGCACTGACCACTGAGCTATGGTATACTCTGAAGTAGTAGTCCTATCCAGGATACTGTGTACTGATGTACCTAGTGCTGCAGAGAGGAGAGGCTGATGTAATTGTGTTGAGTAACAAGTTGCGAACGGTATCTATATCCGAAGAGCTGGAATGTGAAACCCGCTAAATCCGTTTCATCACTTTTCGGATAGTGGCCGAAAAAGGATTCATGTTATGTGCGCTTGGTAACTAAATCCAAATTTGAGTTCCAGTTTTGAAATGGTTCTAGTCAGATTTTGAATGTGCAATTTTGCCTGGTGGTGCCAAGAGCTTTTTGATAACACTGAGCTGAAAATCAGATTTTCTCAAATTTGGTGTTTATCGAGTTTTGAATCTCAGCTCTTCAATTTCACCTCACCCAGCTTACATACATTGGGGATAGCGTTGGCACATGTTCACTTGCGTGAAGTCGCCCACACCCGCAGCAGCCCTTATGAAGCACATACTCAGTACTTTGGACATTGTAATGTAGTCTTTTTCTGCGGATAGTACCTGCATACAAATTTAGTGCTAATTCTGACTGTATTTTGCAAGTGTTCACTTCTCTGCATATATTGATCATATTCTGTTCTTCTTCCCTGATTTTGATTGTGATGTATTCCAACTGATGAGTATCACAAGAAAACGTTCTTGGAAACACTAAGCCGACCCTGCTTACATGTGCATATAGAGCTGTGAGTGCGCATTCGATACTGTTAATAGCTTTATACAAATTACCATCTCCACGCTGATTACATGTCTTTTTCTTTTCTTTTTGTGCCTTTGTGTTCTCTGTTCAGCCTGTCGCATCAATGGGTTTACCCTCGCCCAGTGAGCGCTTGTCCTCTTCAGCGAACCGGCACCATTTTGCTGCTGAAGCCCAGGCGGAATCACAAAGGCAGTGAGTAGACGACGAGACAGTTTCCTTTTAAAATCCGAGGAATTGCCTCGTGGGCTTGTATGGGTCATAGACAGCTAGCTGCCTGCGTGTGACAGCTTCGGAACCACTTTGGTGACTTGACAACTACACTTGACTACTGATGTGTGTGCATGTGTGACGTCATAGAAATCGCTTTGCCACGGGTCAGTGCTATCCTGCCCAACATCTCGTTTTCTATTCGTGTGAGTTTCACAAAGAAGTCAGTGGTTTGTGTCCGGGCCTCCTTGTACTGTTTGAGAGTGTGAGTCGGACACACGGGAGCACACATAACAAATGCCATACAGAATACTGCGGAGAAAGAGAGGAAGGCGGGTTGGGGAGTTTGATCATTTCCTGACTGGGCTTGTACGAGGGAGATGTATCCGATAAGTGATTTGCTTGCAGAATAGGGTGTGATGTGTATGCCGCGCTCACGCTGGTCTTCTGCAGGTTTCGGGAGAACGAAGCCAGGCGGCTACAGGCTGATGCACGCAAGAGAAAACAGCTCAAGGAGGAGGTATGTGTTACTGCAATCACCATGTTTTGCCCATAGGGATGAAGTCCTTCAAAGTCAATATTTACTAGTACCAGGAGTGCATAACCCCCCAGAGTGTGCAACGCCTGATCCAGCTCTGCATAGGGTCTTGGTCGAGCGTAATCGGATCTTTGCGTCATATTAAAATGTACCGTTCACATCTGAGCGGAACCCGGGGAGTCGCGGGGACTCTCGGATCAAAAATAACGGTGCCCTGCCTCGAGACCGGCCTTGCGCTGGTGTGGAGTGTACGCATGACATCAGAAGATCCGATTACGCTCGGCCAAGACCCTATGCAGGGCTGGATCAGGCGTTGCACACTCTGGGGGGTTATGTACTCTTGCTAGTACAGTACCGTACTGCCACTTTTTATCTGTAGATGTGGGAATTCAGCGTTAACACCCGAGCTGGCACCATCATGTACTGTATAAGCAGAACATTTCGTCTGGAATTTACTTTTGTCTTTTTCGTCCAAGGAGCTTTTGGACTAAATTAAATGTAGGACTAATGTCGATTTGCCCAGCTTTTCTATACACTCTTATGATCCATGGATGAAATTTTCAACCGGACGAACTCCTTTTCTTTGGAGTTGGACGAAATTATTGACCGACGAAATTGTACTGCCTCTATAGTATATGACTGTACCTGTAGGTCAATGTATGAATCTGTATGCCAGGTCCCTCTAGGAGTTGCATGTCAACTACCATGAGTTTATAAAGACGTGCTTTTTTCTTAGGATTCAAACTCCATTGCAGCCACCTACTCTTTTACCTAGTCTGGGCATTCGCTCACATAGGGTCTCTTTGCTGAGAAAAAAATCTTTCAGTACTAAATCACGAGTATTGAGAGACTTTTTTTCTCCGCAGCAAAGAGACCTTAATTATGTGAGCGAGTGAACATCCTCTGTTTAAATGGCTCTGATCTGTGCATTTCTTCAAAAGGATCAGACCCCAATTTATGGCAGCATTTCATTGTGTGTGTGTGTGTGTGTGTGTGTGTGTGTGTGTGTTGGTGCGTGCGTGCGTGCGATTGTGTGTATCTGACAGGCCCGCCGACGTGCTCTTGAAGCAATCAAGGATGATCGTGAACGCATGAATGTGCGAACTGGCAAAAGCAGCAGACCTGCTCGAGAGTCACCCGTTGTCCGGGCTGCAGGAAGCAAGATGGCCACCGCTGGAAAACCGGTGCGGGGTGGCATGGGAGCGGCTGACCGAAACACCACCACACGGCTCAGAGTAGGTCCTACGCTTGGCGCGCATCACCCACACACTCCCATGAATGCTACCCACTCATCTCTATGATTTAATTTGATTTCACAGACATTTCAACGATTCTTCATACGCAAATGGATGCCTATCAAAAAAAGAAGTCTCCTGAAGTCTTCATCTATGTGAAGCCACTGTGTGTTTCAACATATCGACCTGTGAAGGTCGAGAAATCGATGACTCACATCAACACTAGATAGAAAGTGTGATCACTTTGCGCAGACAACCTTGGACAACATGTAAACGTTGTCCAGTCTTCCATTGAGACAGCAAGCGGAGGACAGTGTTGGCAGTGGAGAAATGGTCAGAAATGCAATTGCCGTCACGTCACGTCACGTCACGTGTATGGACCAGCAGCAGGGCAGTATAGTGACGAACAGTCACCGGCGAATTTCGTTGGAAGTCAAGTCTTGTCCTTTCATTAGGAAGTTTTTTGTTCATTTCACACCGGGGACTGGGAGCACATACGGTTGTGTCTTCGAAAACATCAGTTGGGAACTAATCTTTGTCTGCTCCTCTCACCAAACGAAGCGAACCAAAATCAATTCCAAACGAAAGTTTGCACTTGACTCTTTGCATGGTATCATGGTTCGTGCCTTTGTTTCGCATGTACTGCGAGGCTGCATATCTGCCTTTGGAACGCACACACTACTAGTATGCAACGGTGGATAGGCAGACCACACAAGAGCAGCAAGACTAGACTGATTGATACTGATATAGTATTAACGTTTCGACGGTCGTCTTCTTCAGAAGGATAATGAGGCTACATTACTGGCTTGTGTTTTTGCTGACGGGCCTTGGTGTTTCTTCTGCTGTTGGTGCTGTTTGGCGTGCAGATACAACTGCCAGGTGGCCAGACCTATTCCAACACTTTTCAAGCATCTGACTCGCTGGAGCTGGTTGTTAGTGCTGTTTGTACGCAGCACACAAGTCTTGACCCAGCTGATGTTTCTATATTAGAGGTAGGTGACACAGGTATTTATGCCGATGTTTCCTCTTCCGATTTAGTTTGCATTCTACCTTGTCTCATGGACATCTGCCTGTAGCATCAGTATGGTAGAGAGGATGTTTGCTGCATGCGATATACCGGAAATGGAGTGCAGTGCCCCTGCTTGACAGTATCTTGAGGGGATACTTGGGTCCGAAACCCAAAGATGGTAGTCCAACCCAACCGACGACTTTAAGCCTTCTTGGCTGGCCCGATGCTGGCTATTTCCCTGAATATCGGAGTGCATGCACACACATGCACACGCACACACACACACACACACACGCGCGCGCACGCACACACACACACACACGCATCCCGCACGAAGGCACATGCTTCTTGCTCTCTGACTATTCTGCCTGTGTGCCCTAAGCCCGGGCATGAGGAACACCCTATCCATACTACCTACCGCAGCACTCCCGAATTTGACCCTTTTGTGTGTTGATTTCAGCCATTTCCACATCGAACCTTTGGCAAGGATGACATGGCAAAGTCGCTTAGAAGTCTTGGACTGGCACCGTGCACTAAGCTTGTGCTTGAGAGGACGTCAAAGTGTGGTTCGCAGGCCGTTGCACCAGGTACCATGCAGAACATGATTGTATGGATAACTTTATTAGGATGACCCAAAGGCTGACCGCCTATCGTGGGGTCCGTCACATTGAAGGATGATGGTGCAAGAGAGTACTCATGCATGTGATTGTAATGAATAGTGCGAAAAAGGGCAGTCCGTATGAACATGCATATACATATACACACATCGTCAATGCAACGGTTAGGTTTCTCTGAGAACGTCTTCTCGTGATGGTCTTCAGTCAGATTACTTCACTGAATGGTACACAAAGATGATCGAGGTATTTCAAACAAGCGTATTTGAGAAATAATGTACTGTAAATATACAAATTTTCGGCAGCTATTTAATTTCGGCTATATTCGGCACCGACCCAAAACGCCTAAGTTAAAACGCCGATGAAATTTTTCACAGCATCTGTCGCACTATACCATGCTCTCTACCCCACGCCGAAAATAAATCGCCGCCGAAATGTCAAAAATCGTGAAGTGCCGAAATTTTGCAGCGCCGAAATTTTGTATATTAAATTTTACAGAAATTACAGTATGTGAAAAGCTACAGATACTACTATGTTCGTCTTTTACTTCGATTATTGTCTCCTCGTCGTCTTTTCATATGATTGTATTCGTTCATTCAGACTGTACTCCAGCCACTACGGTAAAACATGTAATTTTCGGTGTAACTTTAATTTCGGTGATTTCGGTAGAGAAACCAGGCACCTAAATTTAAATTCCACCTAAAAGGCACTAGAGTATGCACTGTGTGTGAAGGGAACACTGGTCACCTAATTCTACATTACACCTGAATCCTGGCAGGTCCCTGGCACCGACATTTTAATGCACCTAAAATTACATGTTTTACAGTATTCCCGTGTATGTGGTGGATGTGTTGGCTTACTTGTTCTACTCAGTCTGGGGATGCAATACCCAAAGTGCCTGTGTGCCAGGATTGGATTGCCTAGACTACAGTGCAACAACTGGCATATCTAGTAGAATGGTACACAGTGTAACGTGTGCGTCCGTGTGCGTGTGCGTCGGAGGTGCATTTGCATGTTGTGTTTTTTTTTACTATTTTACAATTATGAATAAATGATTGTGTGTGTGTGTGTGATACACGGTGTGTGTTTGTATGCATACAATTGACAGCTGCTCCTCCCGTTGCACATGCTGCTCCAGTCGACCAAGACATGGAGGAAGAAGGCAATGTCAATGAAGCAGGTGTGGACGACGGCGACAACGACGATGACGGCGATTTCGAGGATGATGACGATGATGGCCACAATCACGCCTTGCTTGGTCAGCACGTCTGGGGTGCTGGTCATCAGCTGGCTGACGCAAACGCAGAGCCTATGGAAGGAGTGGAAGCAGCTGATGATAATGCCGACCAAGCTAATCAGGAGCATCAACATGGCGAGCCTGCATTTGGCCAGCCAGCAGCCATACAGCACAATGTGCCCCCGCACTTCGCCGCCCCACCGGCTGCAGCTGGAGCAGCTGGTCATCGCATGCCCCTGCCCCACCCGCCACACCCCATTGCTGGTGACTTCATAAACTTTGGGATTGGAGCTCGGTTCCCTGGACACGGCCCCGCGCACCCAGGGCCCCCGATGGGCCCCAGACCTGTGAGACCAGGCATGCCTCCCAACGGTGTATTTGGACCGAGACACAGGATGCCGATGCATTTTGGAGTACATGCCCGCGCACCGTTTGATGGACAGGGCCATCAGCTTGGTGGAAAGCCATCAGGTCCGAACATGGAAAACCAGCCTCCTGCAGCCATGGGTAAGTGATATCACTACAGAATCTGTGCAGCTTTCTTCAGCATGTACCTCTCTCTGTGTCTCTCTGTCTCTCTCTCTCTCTCTCTCTCTCTCTCTCTCTCTCTCTCTCTCTCTCTCTCTCTCTCTTCTCTCTCTCTCTCTCCTCTCTCTCTCTCTCTCTCTCTCTCTCTCTCTCTCTCTCTCTCTCTCTCTCTCTCTCTCTCTCTCTCTCTCTCTCTCTCTCTCTCTCTCTCTTTCTCTCTATCCATCCATCTATCCATCCATCTATCTACCTCTTCCTCTCAAGTGTGTATCTATCTATCTATCTATCTATTTCGTGGATCCGTACAAATGGCATAAGGTCCATTGTCTTCTTCAGGCTGGTCTTGACTGTATCTGACTGACTGAGTATTTTGCATGTAACCAAACACAGTGTGCATATGTGAGCATAGTGGGTGCTTTCCATGAGTGAGGGGAAGTTAAAAGCCTAAAGTCAAAATTTCACCAGTTGTAGTGTTCGGGGTGCTGAGTCGAATGGTCTTGGTCCGAGGATGCTGAGACGCTCCCTTCCGACTTTAATCCCAATCGAACTCGCGCACTTCCACCGAAACTGGGTGACTGCACCCTACTAGATGGGGATTTGTATGCAAAATGTCACTAAAAGCGCGATGTCGTTCTTTACTTGAAGTATAAAAGCACGGATGACCGCGATTGGCCCATATGTTGTAGTCTTTTGGACGCTGAGTCGACTGGTTTAGGTCCGAAAAGGCTGCGATGCAGCGTTCGGCCCTTATTCCCAATCGAACATGGTTGAACAAGCGGTCACGTGCTCCTGCGTACACCGGTCACCTGGTCACCACGCCAGCAGGCGACAACTTTCACACCAAGGTTCAACTCAAAGGTTCAAAGGTTCAACTTGAGTGACAGAAACTCGCCCAAACATGCTGTAAACATGCTGTTAGTTGTAACCTGCAGGCACGGTGACCAGATGACTGGTGTACGCAGGAGCACATGACTGCTTGTTCAACCATGTTCGATTGGGAATAAGGGCCGAACGCTGCATCGCAGCCTTATCGGACCGAAACCAGTCGACTCAGAGTCCAAAAGACTACAACATATGGGCCAATCGCGGTCATCCGTGCTTTTATAAGAACGAAATAGCGCTTTTAGTGATATTTTGCACACAAATCCCCATCTAGTAGGGCGCAGTCACCCAGTTTCGGTGGAAGTGCGCGAGTTCGATTGGGATTAAAGTAGGAAGGGAGCGTCTCAGCTTCCTCAGACCAAGGCCATTCGACTCAGTACCCCGAACACTACAACTGGTGAAATTTTGATTTCAGGCCCCTTTAACCCGGCAGTAGTATTTTACTACTCCCCGAGTACAGGTCGTCCCTCGTTAATAGGGAGGTTTAGTTCCCACGTAACGGAAACGCGTTCGTGGGTGATCCACGTAAAGTGGATGAAGGGCACCCACGTTGCAATGTTGTGTTTAGTCACACGGAACAAACAAAAGCATGAAGCGAAAGGCCCAAACCTGGTCAAAGACGAAGCTACCCGGGCCTAAGAAGCTCATCCAAAATGTTGATTTCGTCCTTCGGAAACTTCTTCAGCTGAGCACCCTCACAGCTCGCAAAATGCGCTCCATTCTGATTTTCACCCACGTTCTGGCGGAACGTGGGTGAGCCTCCATACACGGTATGCCGTGAATCAGAAAACGTCTGTACGTGGGTCACTAAGGGAGCATCTCATAAGTTCGCATTTTGTTTCTAAACGTAACGCATTTCGAAACAGGGGTGGGGGGTAGCGCCCATTTCGGATAGAAAAATGACAGTTCGCACATTTTCGGGATGTGTACAATACAGTGCTGTGCATGTGCTAGACCGCTTCAGACAGCAGGGTATGGGTGTGTTTTAGGTGTAGATCTAACCCTTGCACTACAATACACGCATGCAGGCTACTCAGAGGTGTCAAATGTCACACCAGCCTGATCAAACCGTGTACCTAGTACCTGCCACCTGACCAGCTTTGACAGTACAGTCGTTGTGGAGGATCTCTCTCTCTCTCTCTGTTTATGTGTGTGTACATGTCATTGATTGAACTAAGACTGTAACCAATACTTACTTGTACTCAGTAGATGTGGTACTACAGTCAACTTCGCCAATAACGACATTCGGCGGGGCATCAGAAAAGTGTCCTTATTCGCGAAGTGTCCTTATAACCGAAGTCCCATTTGAATGTATGTGAACCCATATTTTGTATAGTATGACATGCATATCAAAATCAAGCTCTTTTCTTGCTCTATGTCAATGTGTACTTTATTTTCATATTGCAGTTGAAAGGAACTAAAAATTCAATATGCAAGGGAAATCAATTGAAAAATATGCCTTTTTGAGCCATCTACAGGGCCATAGACATGTGCATGTATGATGATTACTGTACAATCATGTACAACTACATGTACATTGTATACATATACATATAGGTGTGCTGGTAAATCCAACAATTTTGAAGCCAACATAAAAAAGGAAGAAAAAGCCCCCCCCCCCGGCCCCCCCCCTTGGCTGCATTTTCTTGCATGTGTGCCTTTATAATAATATCCATCACCATAGGTTCTGGTACTTCTGCATGACAGGTACATGTACTTGACTGACAGGTACTTGAAATAGCTGTCAAAAGCCCAGAAAGTCGTTATTCAAGCAGTGAATATGACCTCTGGGCACTAAAAGCATGTCGCTATTCGCGAATTGTCGTTATTCAGATAGTCGTTATATCCAAAGTAAAATGTATACAGTTAGATGGGACTTTGCTCTGGGCATGGAAATTCGGTCGTTATTCGCGAATTGTCGTTATATCCGCAGTCGTTATTACAGGGTTCGCAGCGAAGTTTGGAAGTCT